TATATATATATATATATATATATAATGCTCAATCAATACGATTATCGCAGAAAATTTATTTATGCCACAGATCCCAGAGCCCTCGTCAGAAAAGGTTATCGATAATATAATCGGCATAATTCGTACGTCTATGGAATTTTAATTTATCATTATATTGTATATGATTTTAAAATATATATTTAGAATATTTTCTAAACTTCTCGTTACGTCGATGACGTTTTGCTATAAAGTTATTAAAAAATATATATATTGATTTAAATGTGATATATTTTAATAACTTTATAGCAAAATTTGTCATCGACGTAACGAGAAGTTTAGAAAATATTCTAAATATATATTTTATTATATATATTATATATAATTTTCATCGCTATTTCTAATTACGTTAAGAATTGAGTTTCCATTTGTACATCAACGTTATTTTGCTATACGCGAGCACACGATAACTGCAATGTGGTGACAAAGTAAATAAATTTTATCAAAAGCCGTGATAACGCATTTATAAAGATACACTCATTATGCAATAGTCAGTAAAGTAACTAGGTCACGTGATACCATTGCAACCTTGAATATAGTTGGTGAAAGGCACTTGATGTCTTGTCAACAGTATCTTTTACATTCCTGACGCAGCAGCCTCGCGGTCGTGTTTTTGTCTCGTGCTATTAAATAATGTAAGTATATAATATTTACTCAAATACTATATTTAATAACGTCATTTATTTATACATAGTACAATTTAACAATCACTCGTTAAAGTGAAGAAATAGTATTATAAAAACACTTAAAAGAGTTTTAAACTAATTATAATTGAAAATCTTCTGTAGTACATTGTAAATTAATACTTTTATTTAGAAACGGAGCATATAAGCTTTGAATATTTTAAAATTTATTTTCTTCAATTTTCTACAAATTTAGATTTTTAAAATTACGCTTTTTCGTTACACATTGAACAATTTATTTATTAATGCACTTGTCCATATATTTTTATATAAGTACATTTAATTTATATAAATATAAATTTGCATTTAAATGTATACCTGTGATGCGGCCTTGTAACACTTCATATTATCTTCCAGATAATATGAAGCTGTACAGCGTTTCGGACGGTCCACCATCTCTTGCATGTCAACAGTTGTTGAAGGCTTTGAATATTAAGTACGAATTGGTCAATATGGATTTTGGAAAAGGTGACCATATGACTAAAGAATACGAAAAGGTACATGTTAAAAAATATAAATAAATAAATATGAAAACATAAATTGAAACAATACAACATATTGAATCTTTTACAGCTGAATCCACAAAAAGAAATACCCACCCTTGTCGACGACGATCTTATAATAGGTGAAAGGTAACAAATCGTAAATTAAAATTATCATTTATAAAAATTGAAGAGCATTTTCTCTTATAAATTCAAGAAAGAGTTTCTTTTATTATAGACAATTACGGGCATGTGATAATTGCAGTTATCTGTAAACAATTATATTTTGTATGCACGTAAGATATACGTATATATATGTACAGTTCTATTAGCTACACGCTCTGCAAAATGAAAATAAATAAATTATAAAGTTTATTTATAGCATCATTCGCGAGCGATTTTTTTTATCGTCTTACTGCGTCATGTTACAGTAATGCAATTCTGCAATATTTAGCTGACCAGTACGATACGAACAATAAATTTTATCCGAAGACACCGAAGCTGCGAGCGATTGTCAATCATCGTCTGTGTTTCAATTTGGCGCTTTATTACCGTAATATCAGCGAATACACCGTAAGTCTAATTTAAATCCTGCGTATATTTTCAAATATTTATCAAATGCGCGTATTTATCGCACTCATATGTCACAGTTGGCGCCGATATTTTATGATTATCAACGCACGCCGTTGGGTCTCAAGAAAACAAAAATCGCGTTGGATATTTTTAACACATATCTACAACGCGAAAACTCCGAGTATGCAGCAGGCAGTGAGTATATTTATATAAATATACGTATAATACGAAAAATATTTTGTTAATATAAAATATCAATATTTTATAGTATTTATTTTTATCTATTTATTGTAAAATTATAAGAAATTAATAATATTTTTAATTCTCAAGTTGTCACACATATATATATATATATATATATATATATATATATATATATATCTATACGTATATTTATTAATAGATAACTTGACAATCGCCGATTTTCCATTGATAACCGCGACGATGTGCCTGGAAGCCATCGACTTCAAATTGGATGCATGGCCTTACGTGACGAAATGGTATGACAATTTTAAACGGAAGCACCCTGACTTCTGGGAAATCGCGGCGAGTGGAATGCGGGAACTCAGTCATTTCGAGAAACATCCGCCCACATCCGATGTGGATCACCCGATACATCCGGTGCGCAAAAACAAATGAAAAAGTTTCTGCAGCAACATTCTCAACAGTTTTAAACATTTACAAACGCTTTTTATTTTAAATTGTGATTTTCTAAGCATAATAATTCAATTTTTCTAAGCATAATATGAAAATTTAATAAAAGTAATAATGTTCTTACTAAACTAGATTTATTATTGACAATCACATTCGTTCAATATTTACACAATATTTTCATAATATTCTCCGTGTATCAACGTTAAACTAGAATCTCTATTACAATATAGTTTCACGATAAATATTATAATTATTGCGATTACAACCGACGTACGTGTGTTAACTTTTGTGTAATTGACAATATATATGTACAAATTAAATAAATCTGTCGACATACATTCCGCCGGCGTACATTCTTAATTAAAATATTGGAATTAATTGCAAAATTTGTAGATAATCTGTTATAATTATGTACACAAAATTTGTATCTAGTAACACAAACAGAGATAATTATTTATTAGTGTAGATAAATTCATGAAAAATAATAATATAATCGACATAAAATAATTCTATGAAAAATATTATATGTGACACTTATAAAAATATATTTACGACTCAATGTATTTAAGACTTAATTTGTTTCTAGAAGTTTATGTATACATATATTTTTATTCGAATTCGACGAAACACTCTTATAGTTTCATCATAAACCATCATTCTCAGCTGATCACGAATCTTAATAATTCCCAAATTTCGTTAATGTTATTCGCTAACTTTATTTGTGAAATTTAATGTAACACGGGAACGATGTAGATATATGTATAATATATCGTAAATTGAGCTGTCACGAGTATTCTACCGAGTATTCTGGCGTATTAAATATCTTTCATTTTATAAACTATATAGTCATCACAAATTTCCGACACCGTTGTAACATTATGTGATAAGAAGGACTTAGATTAGAAATAAAACTATTAACCCTGTAATATTATACTAATTCCGTGGGACAAGAATATCACTATAGAAGCCATTTGCAATTTGCAAATGCTGTAAAACATCGTATCAATAATTTTTGTCATGATACATTTGCTACAAATAACATTTATATACGAACCAACAATATCTTCAGAGACGAAAAATGGTATTTAGAGCTAATTTACTATTTTTGATTGTCTTTATATATTATTCATAACTGTTTGTAACTTTCACTAACAATGAATATATCGAATATGTGACATGAATGAAACTGTTGACTGAAGATCTTGATTCAAATATTATTTCTAACATATTTTCCATGGTTTATTTAAAAATGTATTTGAAATTGACAAATCTTGTTGAGTTCGAAGTTTTTGCCCATCTGATAGCATGCTATAAGATTTATCAATATTTTAGCGATTTAGTCAAGACATTTTTATTTTTAATGCATAATAGCAAATTTCCTTGCGAGCCTCTCTGTAATGGAATACACCTAGACAAGTTTTACATAGCCGACTGATTATTATCGATTCGAAATTATTTTCATACTAAATTGAGCTACGTTTATCACACAAACATACATCGATAATATGTACGTCAAGACCATGGGTACCACAGAGATATCTCCGGTGCACCTAGATCCAATATATAAATACTTTGATTGTAGCTTGTTAGGAAACGATAATTGTGGCAAAAGAATAGAAAACATCAATAATAAGAGAAAATATCAACTATATTAATTTTTTGTTAATATATTTTTTTGGAAGATATTTCTTTAATGAGCTCTTTAAAAACTTTTTTATACAATTTAAACCAATTCTTTTTCACATTTTGCAGTTCCAACTGCAGATTTCTCAATTATTCAGATGTTTAAATAAAATATTTTAAATAAATTAAGTAAGTATTCGATCAGAAAGTATTTGTTTTAGAATACAGACTTTTTTTTATCTGTACTTTGTAATCTGATTTTTTACTTATTTTTAATGTTGATGGAACGGTATACCATTAATATACTTTTCAAGGTAGCTCTAAGGATTCAGTAGATTTAAAAGTACTGAAGTACTAGAGTAAACCTATTTCATGGTCGAAATTGTATTTATACATCGACAACAACTCTGGCCACTGAGCCACTGCCAACGTACGAGGCTTATATAGCTCTGCCATAATATCTTAGTTATTGCTTCGATTTTCCATGTGTTTAGTCACCGAACCCTACCCGAGGGCGAGCGTAGGTGCGATTTTATGTACCCGGTTCGATAATCGATCGCGTCGCGTGACGATCCATCTGACATGCCGTGTCTGTGTCTCCTGCTCCACCTGCAAACGAAAATTATGTTATTCATGGTGATTCTAACAGTCGTGAACTAAAAATCTCAATCATCATGCAGAACACGTTTTTCTTTTGCCGATTCGACGAGAAAAACGCGTGGAAACTTTCCAACATTAATATCCTTGATATTCCATTAATTGTGATGCACAGTGGCAAAAAGTATACGAAAGTATATTTGCTATATTTTATCTGTAACTATTCTCTTTTATATTTATTTAGTTTGTAGTGCACAATGGAAAATAAAGTTAAGATTTTTTTAAAAATTATTTTTGTATTTTGTTTAGCATAGCGCAACTTTCAAAACAACTATAAATTCAATTATCATTTTATTTTTAATTTGAAACAAGAACTTGCGACGTTTCCTGGTGCGTGTACATTCAAAAATTTAGAATTATAATCCTCTCTTTTTTTTAAGCTCTTTTTATTTTTATTATATATACATTTGTAGAAAATCACCACGCGAAATCAAATTTATGTCCAACGCAAAAAGTCACGGATATCCCATTATTACATGGAAATATTATTATACGATTTTGTCATATTTTATTTAATACGTAAGAAGAAACTATTTGGTCGAATTATATGGGATCGCCCGTTTCGTTTTGCAAGGTAAACAATTAACAAACTGAACGACAACAGTAATTGTACCATCAAATATCGAACAGCATGACACATGTCGCTATGCATCATTCCAAAAATTTATGTGGGACACACGGACGGTATATGTATACAATAAAAATAAATATGACTTGGGACATTTACGAATACCTGCAACATTCACGGAACAGGATACTAAACAGATCACTATAAACTAAGATAAAGTAAACAGATGCGAAGAAATTTAGAATTTTACAAAGGCATTCCTCATTACACGCATATGCTTTCATATCGATATACAGGGCGTCTCATAATTTTGTTCTTATTCAAAATTTTTTTGTGCAAAGTTACATCTTTCAGTTGTCAAAATTTAAAAAATCTCGACACTTTTTAAATTATAAATAAATTATAGAAAATAAAAATTGTTAACGATGTAAATTTCAATATATATAATAAGAAAGTGTTATTCTTTCCTTTATTATAAATGGACTCTGCATTTTATCGTAATTTTAATCTTTATTTCTTATTAAAGTATTTAATTTTAAAAGATAATCAAATTGGCCAGGAAAAAAATAAATAAATAAAAGTGATACTTTTCTGGAATACCCTGTATATACCCGCTATTAGCGTTCGGCATTTACGCTACGTTACATTAATCACTTAGGCGCTAGCTTAGAGCAATATAACATTGTGCAACTCAATATTCAGCGCTTTCAAGATGATTTGCGACTGCCACTCGCTAACAAATCCCTGCTCAATTACCCAGCATGTTTTGTACCTCGAGCGTTACAACAAGGTACAACAAAACTCTATACGGTGCTACTCGTCGCCAGCCAACTATCACGATCACGTTCAATTCGATCTTGTTCACTTCCCGCACCTGATTCCTACCTGATTTCCCTCTTACCGCGTCACGCGTGGCTTCGCCACCAGCCTGATCGTTCTCATACCTTGCTGTTGATTACGAGGATCATGCGAATAGCTGTTGCTGACGACGGTGGTGGTGGTCGAGGTCGAGGTCGAGGTGATGGAGGTCGAGGTAGAAGGAAGGACACGGCGTGATTGGGTTTCGGAGATCGAGCTGTATTGTTGAGGGTTGTTGTTAACATATCGAAGTGTGGCGGGCTGATTGTTGCTGCTGCTATTGTTGTTGTTGTTGTTGTTGCTCATCGGCAGCAGCGTCTGACCATCTCCGTGCGCGGCCGTAACGCCGTAGCTCCTCAGGCGGTGCTGACGTTGCTGAAGAGACGTTCTGCGACCCCTAAGGATATTCCTGCTGCCGCGTTGCTGGCCGCCCCCCGTGATACTGCGTATATATATCAAGTCCGAGACTCTCATCAGTCGATTTCTCGATTATCTCAGTGGGGGATAAACACCTGCGGGTGGCTCCTCTCGACGGTATGTCTCACGATGTGTCTCGTTGGTCTTTTTGTTTAACGTAATTGGATAAGGACTGTCGCGTATTGCTTGAATATTTTGGTACGCGGATCCCCCTCTTACTAAAGACTATGTTCCTCATGTGCTCACATTAACTTTTGGCAATCGAGGTTGGGGTGAAGGGCACGTTTATCCGTGTCATAGAAATCTAGCAATTCTCTTATGTCTCGAATCTTACCAAGCTATTAATTATATTATAATTGAACGACTGGATATAATAATAATATACGTATAACATATTTGCTACTTTTTTAAAAAAGAAAATTTACAAAAAATTACATAATATAAACTTTTTACTATAATATTTTGTAGTAATTATTACATATCTTATTATAATATTTTTAGTTATATATTTTGTAATCATTTTTATGATTTTGCAAGAAGAATTAAAATGCTTATTTCTCTAGAATTATTGATATCAATTTTTGTTTTTATTTATTTCCAGACGATATTTATTTTTATCTCCCTTCTTTTTTCCAGAAGAAAAATTATATGATAAATTCTTAAATAAAAGAATTGTAAAACTGGCTTTCATATATACAAATAGCTTGCAACGAATAGCTTGCATGTCGCAAGATTTCTATGACAATCTGGTTACTAATTAATCAGATGAAATAATGGGACGAACAAACAAGAGCACGTGACTAAATTATATATTGAGGGTAAAATAGTACTCCGTTCCAGGATGCTTTACGAGCACGACCGTTAAGGCAAGCAATCTCTTAAGATTTTCGAGGGCAATGAATTAATCCTGAATCTAATATGTATCTTATACGATCCAATTTTGAATAAGGGTTTGGACGAGTAAAAATGGCTAATACAGACACATAATGCATCGAAGCTAACTGAATGATTAAAAGGAAAATAATATTGGGGAAAAAAAGCGTGAATAAGGGCATGCTGGTTGCTTTAAAAGGAAAATAAGCCAATGAAAGTATAAGCTAAGCTTAAACGTATGCATGCAGAATGAAGGAGAAATCGAAAAAATCATGCGCCTATTGACATTTATACCGCTTGCTCTTTTACAGAAAATTCATCGCAAGTAAATTAATGATTCTATTATTGGTATATTATTTGTTCTTATAAATGTCACACGTTTTGAATCTTATAAATGTATTAATTATTTTACTATTTAAATAAATAATAATTCATTTGATATGCAACTATATATATACATATATAAATATATTAAAAATAAAATTCTGATTAGTTACTTAAAAATAATTTTTTGAAATATTAAATATCCGTTATAATCGTTATAATCATGCATATATTATAATCGTTTTCAAAAAATACTAGAACTTATTTATGTTCTAGTATTTGTCTATCATATAAATTTAAGCATTTTTAAATCATATTACATAAATAACAAACTCGCATTCGGTTTGAATATTTCAATCTTTGTTATTTACATTACGCTATTTTTTACATATAAAATTCTCTTGTTATTTTGCTGTAATCTTATGATGCTTAAATAATAATTTAATTATGAGAAAAGATGAATTTTCGGTAGGATCAGAGCAAGACGTATGAGATGTATTTTCTTACCTTGTACTGTGACTCATGAGGACTACGTTTCTGTAACAGCATATAATGGATCCTGATTGTTGGGAAGCGAGTGATGAAGTGATATCGATTTCAAAGACAATACAACAAGCAACTTAAGCAAGTTTAATCATTTATTTTCCTAATCCATTTTTTTCTTATTTCAACAGTCCAAGTTCTTTAACAGGCGAACATGTGCGTTTCCTTTTTTTTAAATTTCAATAAACAAATTCAGTAAATATCAAATATATATATCTTTACACGATTCTTAATAACAGTAGAGAAAGTACAATAACATTTAAATAGTATTTAGATAAATTATTATTGCATAATGTAAAGCTAAAAAATTTATCGATTTTTTCTTAATGACTTTTAATTAATCCAAATAAATTTCGTAGATTTAAATTCTCAAATTTTAAATACAAAAATAATATATAAAAAATATTTTTATTAAAATTTATTTTTAAATTGTATGCTCGCGTTGTTTGCTGAATCAAATTAAAAAATAGCAAATTTAAAATTATTTTAATCACGTTCTTGAAATTGCTTTTAAAGCAACAAAGTTTAAAAAATATTGAATAAGAGAAAAATTGGTTAATATTAATCAACATATTTCATGATATTTAAATATATCATTAGTATTCATAAAAAAATGTACAAAATGTTTTAGCTTTTTATGCCAGTTACATTGTCATTATCTGTATTGTATAAAATATAATCATTTAATTATGCTTTAAATCTGTTATATATTCCAGGCATCCTGTAAAACAGTATCAGTGCTAGTTTTTAATTTTTATGTAAAGCGTGACGATGTGCACGAGTTGCTCTCTAAATGCGAAAGAAAAACCGCAATATGTTTTGACATAAATCGACGTAATTGGCTCCATATTTATGCAGCGAAACAAAATATCTCGTAATGATCTGAAAATGTCGTCGCATGTATTTAGCTGCGAAGCTGCGAAGTAAAGGCTGGTGAGACGCAAAATAAATTATAAGAATTGTTTTAACGCAGATCGAAATTTAAAGATTTCCCAAATAAAAAAACAATCGCAAATATAATAACAGTAAATTATAAAAAATTCCTATGTTTTTATAATGGTCGCGCGTTTGATCAGGTACACTTCGCGATAGGGGGAATAAAATCGTACATTTTGCGAAAACGCGGGCGTATAAAGTTTTCCAGGGAACGTTCTATGTCATTTTACCAAAGCGATTTATAAAATATATTATTACGCTTCGAAAAAATCGCAAAAACTAAGGCAGCATAAAAGATAAATTTAGATATAGATATATATATATAGATAGGTAGGTCAAAAGCACATCCTACTTAAGTGAGACTACGCGCTGCCTCTATTCTGGTGCCAAACAAGGTAAAAGACAACAGTCCGATATTGTTGCAAGAGTAAAGAAGATATATGTATAGAGAGATAGATAAATCGTCTCGGACGAACGGAGAGTTCGCTAGAGAAACTAAAGACTAAAAGATAAATTAAATTAACTCCGAATTAAAGGTGCATACCACGCAAGAAACGCGTCGTATATAGAATACAGACTGAGAAAACGTACCGGAGGAGCCTTGTTATGTAATCTGGCCAATTATCCGGGAACATCACGAGGAAGAAACCCACCGCTATGAAGATCATGCCTGCTAATTTCATGCCCATGAAGTACGCCCCATAAAAAATAACGTCCAATGCTGCGCAATTATGTTAATAATTAGTAAGTAACAAGTTTTACGAATAACAATATAATTAAAAGACAATTTTATTATATTCAAAATTTATATTTTTTCAAATAAGAGATATTCTTCTCTATTTTTATTTTTACACCCTTTCTATAAATTCTTTACTTTCAATGATTACTGATTGTGTTATTAAAAGGAACCATTTTTTGATTTACGATATATATTCTAAAATAATTAGCCGATCATTTTACTTACCAGCAGATACAGGTACAGCTGTTATTAATCCAAGAGTAATGAACAGATCGTAGGTGATTGCGATGCTGAAATTGCCGAGCATATTCGCAACTGTGAACAAAGTATGGATTTCAGTTGCGAAAGTATACGTTCCCATATCGAATAGTAATCTAATTTAGCGTAAGTTCAGACCTAAATGGAGGATGCTAGCGGAGAGTAATGCTGCCCACGGTAATTTTGTCCAGTGTATGGTTTCTACTCCGGAAAAGTACAGAGCCAGGCAAATCGGCCATAACAGGGCAGCGTTACACAAACCGATGAGGGAGAAAAATAAAGACATTTGGCCGAACGTAGTTTCTCCTATTACTTTCTTAAAGAGAACCTGAATGAACAAAATAATGCCTTAAAAATTTAATATTTCATATTTGCATTTGTAATATAGATCATAAGATATTATTCGCTTACTTTGTAAACGGCAGAGCCAGCTGCCGCTGCTGTAGCTAAAACAACACCCCCCAGCGTCGGACTTCCGGTTATGCCATCCATGTAAGCTAAGAGCGCGATACCGGTATTACAGAGAATCACCGCGACTATCTATAATAAGAAAATTTTCCTGTTAAGTTTGTGATATAATAAAATAAAAATCTATTATATGAAAAATTATACACACGTAAAATTTATGAAAAATGCATTTCACAACTGTGTATATAAAAATACATAAATGTCAAGACATTATTATACATAAAAAATGCTATTAAAAATTTTTTAATTTGTAATAACAATATCTTAATTATTTATTATTTATCCGTTAGTTTTTTATAACAAAGATTCATTTAATATCCTGTAGAGATAATTTTCGTAATTAATAAATAATATATTAGCATAAATAATATGAAATTTGACAATTGTTATAAAAATTGAACAACCATTTTTAAAACTACTCACCCTCACGCCCACGAATTGTTCGTGAAGAATGACCCACGAGAGCAGGTAGACGCATGAAACGTTGGTTGCGAATAACGCCATCACGTCTGTGGCTAGCAGTATCTTTAATGATAGTATGTACAAGTAATTCGTGATGACCCATAGGCCGCAGAAAAGACTGCATCTGATTAAGAAGCGACCGCCAGTGAAACCTTTATCGCGGAAACCGCGGAGACTCTCGGCGATTATCTCCGAAGGGGTGGCGCACTTGGTTCTCGCAGCCCAACAGATGAAGTATACCGGAAAGTACAAGACTTCCCAGTTGGTGCAGAACCACGTCGTAAAGAAGGGTGCATCGTACCCTTCTTTATGATGAATGATCTGAAAGTAATTAGTTGACAATAGATAACATCATCTTGCTAAAGAGAGATTATAAAAGATAATTGAAGTAAGCTCACATGTTGATGATGGAGTCCGCTCACGGAAGAATTTGCGGACTCGAACGTCTCCGAGTTCTTGTCTGGTTCATGAAAGTACAAATACTTGATGCAATGAGTCGCTCCGACCCAACTCGCGGTTACGCATATCGTCACGCACACCCCGAAATATATCTGCAATTATAAGAGTAATCGGAGTCCCTGAACGCAATATATCAATGTCGTAAAACACTTTTGATACAGACTGCAGCTATCGTAAGTTTCAATAAACGCAATACTTTGAATCACTTCCTTTAGTGTTTCACTCAATCTATATTCCTGTTTAATTTACTATCCGCGACTTCAACTTGTTAGAGATGAAAACAACCTTCTTCGCGCTTTCCGCGCAGCAGGAAGCGAAGCAGGCCGAAATTGAGCTCGGTTGCTGCGACTGCTGAACTACCGGAGCCGAGGTTACATGGGTCGACGATTGAGTTTGGCCTGTCGATTGCACATTCCCGCTATCGCCGCCGCCGCCGCCACCGCCTCCTACGACACTTCCGGTGGTTTCCAGGGTGCGACAACTCGACGCAGAATCGCCGCCGACGACGCTGCAACCCTGTTGCTGCTCGCATCCTGAAATATTGCCGTCCTGAAATATTTTCGTCTCACGGTATCTCATAAAACGGCAATACCAATACGTTCGAATTTATTCGTGCGTTAAGAGAATTTTAGACTGCAGCGTGTATTTTAACTGGATTATTATCCATAATTAGATCGTTGTGGATTGTACGCTTAAGACAGTGAGAAAAAGCTAGGATTAAATCTATTTTTTTTTTCTGGCTATATACTCTGAATAATAGCTACGTAAAGTGCGCGCGCGTATTTTTAATGTGCGAAAAGTGATATATGACGCTTTTAATATGCGGCTTTTCTTAAGCGTGTCCTGATTTTGAAATTTTGCAGTTTTGTTTGAATATATACTAGGCGAATTATGCTCAGCGAACTGAAATTATTATGCGCATATCATGCGAGCGTTTTAATAATGCGAAAATATTTATACTAAGAACTAATACTAAAAAACTGATAAAGGTTTCCTTAGAAATCTAAGTTTCTCTTCTCTTGGATATAAATATTATAGATACGCTATGAATCCATCGTTGATAGATCTGTTGTACTCTTCAATCAATATCGAAATGCGATTATCGACGATCACTATACAGGATATCATCTTAAACCCACTGTATCTTCTTCCAGCCACAGGTTCGACGTCAAACAAACTGGTAATTTTTTTCAGGAAAATTTGGTAAAATTTGGAATTATTATTCATCTATTTGATCTATTTCTAACACAGTGCAATAATTTTGCAATTAAATCAGAACTTTGACGGTCGGATTAAAAAATCAAAATTTCTTTTATTTTTAAAGCATGAAATTTTGCATTAAATTTTATTATTTTATTAATAAAAAAACTCTATTAAAACCCTTTAATTTTCATTATATTTTTTTATCAAAGCCTCAAATAATTTGCGATAGTAATTATCAATCATGCAATCAATCAATAATGCAATCATCTTTCTTCAGTTTCACCCCCCCCCCCACCCCAGTATCTGCGACTGAAAGGACACTCGAGGAACAGACAAGGTCGGTCCAACACAATCTACACATCAATGCGCAAATTTACCTGAAGCGTGGAGCGCAATCTGGATGGGAGTGATGAACGGACCGTGGGTCTGCTGATCTTCGACGAAGGATATATTCGACGTACGCGATCGTCGAGGGTGAAATATCGTTGGTACTTCACCAACTCCTCCGCTACCCATGGCTTAAGCGCGTTCTTTGAAACATGTCATTAGAAAGAGATTTGCGTTTTAACGTGAGCCGCGCGCGGCACGCAACAATCGGGTTACACCACAACTTCGGGTTCGATTCATGCGAAGCATCTGGTGCGCATCGCGACTTCCCTATACGGATGCACGTACAATATACTTGTTGATCTCCCGACATCTGCTTGCGGGGGTGCACCAGCGAAAAACGTTTCTGGCGTTCACCAGAGTCGCTTCGCACATGCAACAACGTTCATATTCGAAAGAACTCGTTTTTTCGTTCTCGTTGGTTTTGATACTCATTACAATAATCTAACTTTCAATAAAATTGCAAGTTCAGCAACAACAAAGATTTCCACTTGTCAAACGGTACATTCGGTATACGTTAGTGCCGCAAAATCAGGACGAGGGTTTTATACGAAGCCGAAGGATTATGTATATAATTTAGATAAGAAAAAAATATTCAACGTTACAAGCACACACCGCTCGTTTTGTGTATCGATTTGGTACGAACAAACACGGAGACCACTTCCGCGCGCTTCGATATCTGATCTCGACAAAGCAAAGTTGTTGGCTGAGACGAAATCAATTCCGATGTGTTCAAAACTCGAAGCTACGTATACAACAGTTATAAAGTACACTTGTACATAAGTGTTTATACAATTAAGCCGGTTTTGAGCCTGAAATGAAGCGAACAAATTGCGTTTTAGCTTATAGCGGCATTGAATATTAGAAATTTACGGCAAATTCTCGGCAGGATAAGCACACGAATTTTACATTGCTGTAAATATTGTTATTACGAGCATTATTAGCACAATTATCAAGAGCGCGGTATTAGCAAAATTGCAAAAGGCAGATTTCGGATAAAGGCATGCAAATTCGATGGATAAATCTATCTAATCCGGGAATTATCGCACTGCACGTCTTCAAATATTTTGATAGAGAGAAACTCGAAAAATGGAGGTTTTTTCCTTTCAGGCCATTTGAAAATTTCGACAATTTTAATTAATTAATGAAACTCATTGCCATGAGAATAATTCAACATCAATTTCGAAATATGATCTTATAATGAGATATATACACTAATTTCAAAAATTTTGAAACTGCAGGATTTTAGATACTGCCTCGACGTTGTAAACAAAGAATCAATTATCTTGCCGTCGATAATAAATAATTGATAACAACGATTACGAAGCAACTCCACGTTTGTGGCAAAAGTCGCATGCCAATTCCCGGACTTTCATCGAAGTGAAGAGACACGGAGGTAAAGAGCTAGAAAAATGTCGCACACATACCTTCTTTACGTTTTTCTTCCGAGGTCGCGTCGTTCTCGAGTCGCGTATCCATGGTTCATGGTCCACCCGGTGTGACCGACTCCTCCTTAGTTCGATTTACCACGGATGACCGATGTCACAACGGCATGTCGCGCTGCGGGTCGCGAAAACGAGATCCCGCCCTGGGGTTTCGTTCGCCGATCGACGTTACTTAATGACGGACCTCGCCCGCGACGTAATTAATTAGCTCTAGGTATTTATCGCCGCTAGAAATGCGCAGCTCATTATGAGCCGTTCATTGCGCGAGCCACGCGCGCGGTCTCATTTTCGAGGATTCGCGTATCGTGCACGCGAGGGAACGTGCTGTATCGGCGCGCGGTGATCTTCGGGGCCGTCGCACACCCCGAAGGGAGAGGGTGAGAAACGGTGGTCGCTGCGCGCACTGCACGGACTGTGGTCAAAGGGAACTTGGTCTCGAGCATTCTGCCATGCCATTGATTGCCAGGCTAGGTCTCATAAGAGCCTTCGCTAGTTCACTGGGCTGCTCGCGTCTGCGCCTGTACCGTCCGCAACCACTTCGCCCGTCTGCGCCGTGCCGTTCTGATTGCAGCTAACTCGGCTACACACTGGGTGTCCCAAAACCACCGACTGAATGGTCTATTTTACATCAATAGTCAAACAGAAAGGATATGACGAGCACAAAAAAAAACTCTTAACAATTTATCCGTTAAATTATACGTTCTGATTATTCTGCACAATTTTTATAATTCTTAAACCATCAAATAGAGGTTCAAATAGGCGAAACCGATCTATCCCTTTCGTGAAATATTGTACAATGGCCACACAAATTTTAACTATTCTTTTATATTAAAATTAAATCCGTTTTATATTAAACTTAAAGCAATATACAAATAGTAATAATTACATATATAAAAAATTTTAAATGCAAAAAGCATTTCTATGCCCGCTATTATTAAACTGGCGAAATAGTACACGCAACATTATCATCAAATCAAACAGCACGTTAAATTATTTTATTTCTTCATTTTCGCATGGTCGTATTATTTTTACAATTATATTTACAATAATTTTAAGTTGATGCAGCAATATGATTACACAACTGATTGTAATTGACACGAAACTGGTTTTCACTGTTCGCTCGCACTGTATTTCCACTGTATTCTCCACACTTTCCGTTCTTAGTTAGTTTCTACATTTCTATTTTGCGTGACCAACTCGGAAGGAACTTTTTCTTATACATATTCATAAAGCTCAATACCGCTCACTCAATGTCACATAATATCGCACGATTTATAGCAAGATAAAAGACAACGTTATACATGTAAGGGCTGAATGGTATAAGAAGAAATAGACAAGTAGCTGAAAAAATATTTTATTCCGTATTTTCTGAAATAAAAGATTTTCAATTAATTTTAAGTGACGTAAGAAACACACCTCACTGATATTATTTTGTTCTTGATATCAACGTCACTATATCTAAGTAGGAAGTATGCGATAATGTTGCTTTTGTTTTTCTTTGTAAAGAAGGTATAAGTACAAATATACTTAGGTATATAAATAGGTACATTGACACACACAATGTGTTCGCGCGGTAAATTACAGATGGTTGAACATTCCAAAAATAAATATAAGCTGTAAAATTTTACTGCAATACATAAAAATATAATGCTTAAATTTCTTTTAAACTGTAAACTATAGAAATTGTCCGCGAAATAAAATAGGAAATATTTTTTCTAATAAAAAAAAAACACATAATTAATAATGTAATAATCTCGATTTTGACTTTGCACAATTATGATCTAGAATTATGTTATAACGAAATATAAAAGACAAAAAATAAATTATAGAGTTACTAATAATACGTTATAATATATATTGTACATTATTATGAAGAGTGCTAACAAATTACTTCCATCTGTATTTACCTATGACAAAATTAAGTTGATAAATTAAATAATTATTAACAATTAGAATCGCGACTTAATCGCAGTTGTATCACAGAATAACACAGAAGTTGAAATTGAATATAATTGTTATGTAACAGTGAATTGTAAGTTTAAAAATTAAAGTGACAAACAAATAAGTTATATTAAAATATCCCATTAAACTAAATATAAGTATCGTATAAATTATTCGAAGATGATTTATAACATACATAAAATAATCATAATGTATGTGCCATAATTAAACATTAGAAAAAAAAACTTTTGCATGCATAAGATTATCGTGAGTATAGTATCATTATTGAATCTGTTCTTTAAATATTAAAGATATATTACACATAACTATCTGTGTTATTCTCAGATAATTAAAACGCGCATAAGGGAGTGTAAAAATCCCTCTAAGTATCACATTTATGCACTGTTTTAAGGCTTATAATTCCGTTTCAGTCTTTCGTTATAGGTCTACCTATAAAGATGTTATACAACTCTCAGAGTTGAGTGTCACAGATTTACACATGTACGATGTGTAAATATAATGGCATAATAAAAAAAATTCGATTTGGCCGGCACATATATAGCACAAACGCGTTCACTATTTAAGCGTATTAAAAAAAAACGTTTACATCTTTTTAATTAAATATAAATAAAGACACGCATATAGCTATCTATATTATCACTTTTATATACATATATATGTATATGCATATTCATTATATATGTATATATAAATATATTATTGTATATACATTATATATATATATGTATATAAAATGTATACATATATGTATATATATTTAAATATATACACATGTTATCGAAAACTATAATATTCAAAGTTTCTTATCGATCATATTCATAGAAACATTTTTAGAAAAAAAATTTTATAAATGTGATATTATTTTTTTATTGACGTAAAAGCAGCATTTACACCTTCATAGATACTATGAGGTATTCAACTTGTTATACGAACATCATTTCCGACGTAGACTGAGTTTATGTACATAGCTGCACAATAACCCAAAAAGGTTCACGCATATTGGCTATACATATATTGTAGTAATGCATATTATGTCCTAATTATTAATATGGAAATATAATTAAAAGCAATCCGTATAATTCTGCGGCCATTAAATACAGTTATGTAAAATACATTAAGTAGAGAATATATAATTGTATCTTCCTCAGAAGATACAATAAAAAATATATAACAATAATATTTACAGTAATCTGCCGCCAAACATATAAAATTAGTGTACACAATTTTTAAACAATTTTGAACAATAATACACTACATTCATGTAAATGCAGTATATTCTAGCACAAAATAGATATTTAAAAAAAAAAACGATTATTTTATTCGTTAATTTAATAAAAATATACTACCGCAAAGAAATTCTTAATTGCAATACACGGGCACATGTACACAGCAAAGTGTAATATCGATTTATAAAACACCATAGATCCAAATCTCTTAACATTTACAAGTTTGCTCTCATTAAAAATACGTCGCGTAGCAAATAAATTTTAACAAGTTGCATTTGTTTATACGATTATTTTGTACAAGATATTTGGTGCCGCAATACCGATAATCGAATTTACAGCTATACTACACATTCTTATTAATAAAATTTAATCGGTATTAAGCACTATATACATTTAAAATATACCTATATATATTACTATTTCCATATAAAATATGCTTAGGTTTTTTAAAAGGTAGCTTTGGGATTATTAATGATTTTTGTTTATTAAGTGTGCGACCAAAGTAAATTATGTACACATTCTTCAACACAACAAATGATTTAATATAATCACACGTAATCAACTTTTCCTAAGCAATGTATAATGATAAATAATCGCGTACATCTAAATCGTAAAATATCAAAATTTGGATTCTCAAGTATATATTAATGTTATTATATTATTTTATACTTGTAAAGAAAAAAGGAGATGCTTCATATGTTATAAGTTTCAAATGAGATAACGTAGCCATTAATCCGCGCATCTTCCTATGTGCCGACAACATAATGAGCGGTAAGCTGAACCGCATTTCTCTCTTCATATAAATATGCAATCGGATGAACGCGTATTTATTTTATTCCTAAACAAAAAACAGATCATCTTTATTTTCTACTGAACGCTCTACTCTCTGAGTTTAGAATTACGCGACGAAACATAAACCATTTTTTGGAAAAAAATTCTACACAGCTGCTTTTTTTTAATATCTATTTAATTTTTTGTTACCAAAATCTATATCTACTTCATGAAAACATGCTTTTCATTTCCTTAATAAAATTCAATCATCAAAATGCAAATTATCTCACGGTAATTATATTATCTTCTGATTATTATTAAAAGGCACGTAATATTGTTCTGTAGATAATTTATGTAGATAACAATTAGATTATCTACATTAAGATAAATTTTTTGTGATAATATACCACTCATAATAGTTTTTAATGAAAAAATATTGTCCGTTATGAATAAAAAGTATTCTCTATTCAAATGTAATTGTTTTTATTAATATTCTCTATTAAAATGTGATTTTTTTTTATTAGTGAGCATATTAAAAAATTCTATTTATTAATTCAATTCATTAGTACTAGTTATTCAATTATAACAGTTAATTATTATTCAAATTACATCAGATTGCATCGTTCTAATTCATAAAATTATAATAAATTATAAAGCGTAATAATTTGAAGATTTCATTTATATGTAATATTTGATATCTTTAAATCTACCATCATTCAATTATGATCAATGAAAATATGAACAATACTTCAAGATGTATTTGTTCATATACTTAGCTTGGTAGTATCACAAAATATCACACTACTTATAAATCTAGAGTGGAGATATAAAGCCATAATTTACACTACAAAATATATTCAGGATCTTTTAGAGACAAATGATTTTTGTGCTTTACCTTACGACCCTGTCTTTTGGTTGCTTTTCGAGTAACCTTGGATTCTCTGGATTCTTGCACTTGCTTATTGTGTCCCAATCTGAGACGCACAGGTACCTTTGAGTCAAAAGTACTTTCGTCTGTAATAAAAAATAAAAAATAAGAACATAACATTTTGTAAAAAATTTTATATTAATTTTAATTTTTCTCATAAATATATTCTCTTTATGTATGTATAGAAAAAATAATAAGCTAATAATCGTCTCAACAAGATATTTCAGATAATTAATAGTAAGTCAAAATTTATAATAACTTAATAAATACTAATATTTAATATATCTAAAAAGTATATAATTACCTTCAGAATCATGTAATTCAGTTAAGGATCTGTGTAGCACAGTAACTCGCCTAACTTCCTTTTGATTAGCTATAGAAAGAGAAACATTTATTATTAGAAGCAATTTGAGCGTAAAAAAAAAAGAAAAAGAGTTAACTAAAATATAAAACCAATGCTAAGTACATGTATTTATTAATACTTACATTTTTCATCAGTATTAATGATATGCCTCTGATTGGCTTTCGCATTATTCTTTACAGCTCTGCAAAGAAACATAAAGCAAAATAAGTAACACTGATAAAAGAAAATAAGTGTATGTAATATTTTGTTGTAAGATTTTGTTACTTACTCGTTAACAACACATTTAAAAGCTGACTGCACCAATCTAGCGGACTGAATCGGTACTGTTCTGTTCAATCTTTCTGCACGTCTTCTGCTAAGTTCTGCTCGTAAGTCTCCTTCATCGTCTACAGTTATATCTTCAAATATAGCATCCATATCTTGTTCGGAGATTATATCTTTACGCTTTTTACACTTCTTATCCTTTCCAATACGTTCGGAAAGCGGCAATTCGTTCTTTAATTTCCCGACTTGATATAATTCCTTATCACGCTTCTTCTTTTTCTTGGATTTTTCTTTCTCCGTTTTTGGTTGCTCTGCTTCCAAACACGTGTTTAGAGTACTTGTAAAAGCGCTTGGCGATGTATTTTCCATTGCTTCTTCACACTCTTCAAGTTCGTAATCTACTTCCAAACATAAATCCATCTCCTGAATATCGTACTCCTCCACAGTTTTATTTGGTCTCCTTGCACCACTCAATTGAATTTCCGTTTCTTCTGAAGGTTCCACTTTCGTATTCGTGGTGTGTTTTTTTGATAATTTAATCTTTTTATTGGCATTTACAGGATCGATAGGCCGTATAGACTCAAATTTCTTTCTCCTTGCCTCTAGTACAGGATCGCTAATCGTATCGACAGATTCCTTCGCTATTTCCGCCATCGTTGTTGGTTTTTCATATGCCTCATCTTTCTGCTTTGCTTTTGTCTTGGACAATTCTAACGTTGCTGTATTTTTAAAAATTGGAGATGATTCTCTTATATATCCATCTCGATTATCTGGTGTAATGGAACGTGGACCGTGCTTTCTGGGTAATTCCTTCGGTGACCACTTCGGGGATCGCTTCCGTCGTGGCGAAAGACGGGGCGAATGTCTTGGAGACGACCACGGTGATCTGCGTGGCGAAAGTCGAGGTGATCTCAAGCGGGACGATTCTCTTCGAGGAGAAGATAACCCGGGTGACCTAGATCTGGATCGTAATCGACGTGGTGACACTCTTCTCGGTGACAATCTAGGCGATTTGGATCTAGGAGATCTAAGTGGTGGTGAATACCTTGGCGATCTCGATCTCGATAATCGTGGCGTTCTGGAGCGTGATACTATCGGTGAACGTGGTCTTGGAGTCTTTGATCGTCTCGGTGACCTCGATCTGTGTGGCCGAGGCGATCTGGATCGCGACGAAAGTTTAGGCGATCTGGCTCTCGGCGATAATTTTCTGAGCGGTGATCTTTTTATAGATACTCTGTTTGGAGATCTGCGTGGTGAGAGTCTGGGTGATCTAGATCTAGGGGAATATCGTGACAATGGAGGCGATATCCTATACCTCGTCGATGTCTCTCTCGGAGACTTTTTCAATTGTCTGACTGGAGATCTTCTGGGAGATCTTCTTGGCGATTTCTTCCGTGATCGTGATCTCGGGGATAACGATCTGCGCTTTTGGCTAACTCGGTTCGTTACGTGTGGAGAGACCGATCTTCTGTCGTTCTTGACAATTGTAGTCAGAGATGAGGTAATAACGTTATTCCGTTCCTTCTTACCGTAGTTGTCATCCGATTTCGTTTTCTGATCTAAGTTTTTACTTCCTTCATCACCCTTCGCCGTACTTTTGGCTTCGCCTTTCTGCAATTTTTTGTCTCTTTTTTCGGATACCTTATTTTCATCATTCATTTCTCTCTCCATCTCGTCCATTAAACGTTCTAAACTATCTTCTTCCTCGAGATCAGCCATTAAGAGTACATCGTCGTCATCATCATTACATTCTTCTTCTTCCTTATCACCATTCTTCTCCAGATTCTCTGCGGTTCCCTCCTGATTTTCTACCTTTACTGAAAACTCAACGGATTCCTCTTTTGGTATAACTTCTGTCTTTATAGAGGTCACAATGCTCTTTTGCTCCTTTACATCTTCATCCTCAGATGCGCTCCCGCTATCTTTAAAACGATGGAATTTTGATACTTCTGAAATTACATACAATCACACAATTATTTTATTCTTAAAAAAAAAAACATACTTGTCAACATTATTGTGTTGATACATTCAATATATATTCGTTCTGTATAAAAATATAAAGTTTACCTTGAGGACGCGATTCTACACATGGCTCAGTCTTTTCTATGGGACAAGCTAATTGTTGAAGTGGAGAAGGTTCATCTACAGGAACTATCGCTATCAAGTTCGGATTACGAGGGCTCTGATAATACACATTCTGCAAATATAAAATACAGATGTACAAACTGAAGATATTGAATTAGAAATAAGAACTTACAGATTACCATAGAAACTTTATATACAACATTTTGAAAGCTCCTTAGAACATTTATTCCAACAAATTTCAACATATTGTACAACACGATAGCTCTTATTATTCACATGTAAAATTACTATTGTGATTAATTATAAATAATATATGTAAATTAAAAGCTTACGCCATTCTGCCTCTGTTGCACCCTGTTCTGATTATAGTAATTCTTTTTCGTAGGCCGTTGATTTTTATATGAGAAACGTGATGATTGCGTTATTTGCGGTAATACTTTCTGCGATAGCGCCGATCTTCTATGCGTGGCATCTTTCGTTCGGAGCGACTTAAGCGCAGCTAATCTCAGTGCTTCCACATCCTCGTCGTCGTCGTCCTCAACTTTAATCTTTGATTGTTGAGGAACCACAACCATCTGGTGAAGTAAAATGATGGACGAAATTTAAAATTTCACAACGGAAAAGTAGAGACGATGCAAAATGACATTAGATTTTTGCAGCTTTGACAGCTGCACGAGAAGCGCGCGCGCGCGCGGATAGACAGGTTATCGCAAAATACGCGAATAATCATTGCAATCTCGCTATCGAATAAATTTCTCTTTTTTGATTCGAGACATAGGTCTTCTGTCGAGGTTTCGTCCAAGTGCTCCCATTTTCTCCGAAGTTACGGCGAATAAGGAGAATATCGTTCCTCCTCACGCGTTTGTTAGGCATTTTCGAGTCGGTTTTGGTGCGGTCTGTCGATAGGTGCGGCTTACCTTTTGGCGATGGTCCATTTTATCGAGAAGAGTGCTGGGAAGAACGTTGCAGGGATCACGGCGAGATCACTGCGGTCAAGCGCTCGCGTGAATAGCCCACAGTTCACGCGCCAAATGTTCGCGAAAATGCCGCGCGTTGCATGCACCGATGGCTCGCGTCACACACATATTGCGAGGCGACACATCTCTCAGCCAACTCGCGAATATTACGGGAATTCTGTCGCACAAAATCCGCTCCGCTACTCCATACATATATAAATAAAAATGGCGTGTGTGGACATACGGGATACGAATGGCTTGTAGGACATGAACTGTGAAGATGCATTTCGATAGGAAACTCGATCGAAGAGTTCGCATACAAGACGCGGCATTTAGATTTATTTGATCATTTTACCGACCGTAAGTAATTATTATTATCATCGACGGAATATACTATCTCGTCGGTGCAGTTCATCGGTGCGTTATAATAATAATAATATAAATTATATATACATATTAGTATTAATAAAAATTATATTAATATAAGTATTAATTATATTAACATTAACAAGTAGAGAGAAGAGGAGGAGAGAGAGAGAGAGAGATTAAAGTATTTTATAAAAATTTGTAAGACTGCTAAAATCTATTAAATTGTTAACTTTTTTCATGCGGGCCAAAGGGCCCGGAGGTAATTGCAGAGTGTCGATGTTATCGATTTTTAACATAAATTTGCGATTTATTTGAATAATACCATTATTAAAATCATAATTTTTATATAATTATTATTATATAAATGCTTTTATTAATAAGTATGAATACTTATAATGCTGCAATATCATATATATTGCCGCAAAATTATATATTTTTTCAACTGTTTTACCATCTTTCTGAATAATCAAACGCGGATGGTAACTATAAAAATGCAATTTTAAATAAAATTAACTATTAGCAAGATATAATACAGATGAAATACAATGTACATGTCTAAAAAACATTAATCTAATAATAAATCATAAAATTAATATTATATCATTGGCTAATTGCTATTTTAGCAATTACTAAACAGCTAACTTCAGTAAGAGTGTCGGTCTTTAAATAGTATCTCGTCGGTAACTTATAATATAACAATTTTATGACTTAATTATTATTATTATTATTCTATCTATTACGTGTGTTAAAAATATGTATCATATATTTTCGTATATTTATGACTTGACAGGTAGCATATGAATTGTATTATATATTTAATTAATATCGTGTAATATTGTTTAAATAATATTTGCAACAAGATTATGTTACTATTATCAATAGTCGATAATAGCCAATCTTGTTCAATCACATATTCGGGTTCTCAGATACCGACAGTTATGGAAATTTTTTAGGTTAGGTCAACGATCTTTAATAGTATCTCGTCAATGGATTTACGGGGAACTTCGTTCTTAAATTATTAAGTTTTAACATCTAGTATTGCTTTAATCTTAGGTAATACAAAAAGTACAAAAAAATACAAACGTAAAAAAATTCATTTACTTTTTAAACAAATCTTTATACAAATCTATTGTCTACAAACCTAACCTGTCTATTACCTTTTTCCAATGATGAGCTGACATAAAATTCTTAGTGTGGAATTGGTGAGAATTATTATTATCAATGTAATTTAATCCTTTGTACATCTGTAACACATATTTAATTTTATAATATTTTTTCAGATAACAACGAACGAGAAGATGTATGTTAAATGTGCCATCTTCTTCGCACTTGCCTGTTTATTGATACTTGCAAGAGCATGTTATTTGATATTTGTTAAAAGCAATAAGCCCAGAGAAAGGTCTTGTCCAATTAAAACAATGATAATATTAGGATCCGGTGGACACACGGCCGAAATGCTGCGAATCGTTAAACACTTGAACATTAAGAATTACTCGCCTAGAGTGTACATTTATGCTAAGACAGATAAGCTTAGTGCAGAAAAAGTTAGAGATCTGGAGGATGGCAATAAAGATTACAAAATCGTAGAGATTTTTAGAAGTCGGGAAGTTCGACAGTCGTACTTTACGTCAATTTGGACCACTGTATTTGCCACACTAAACTGTCTTCCAGTCTTGTGGAGAGAAAATCCAGGACTTATTTTGTGCAATGGTCCTGGCACCTGTATACCTTTATGTGTTATAGCATTTTTGTTCAAAGTCCTATTCATTACAGAAAACGTTATTATATTCGCAGAGAGTTTCTGTAGAGTTAAAACTTTCTCATTAACGGGAAAGATCTTGTATTATTTAGCTGATCATGTTATTGTGCAATGGGCATACTTAAGTAAACCTATGTATAGCAGAAGCATTTTTTTATAAAGACTGCTTATTTGTAATATTTTATAATAATAATGGTATACCTTGTGAAATAATTTACAGAAAATGACTCACAATGATCCTGTAATAACAGTTCCCTGGGAATTGTTAATGAAAGAATTGGACAATATACCTGTTGAAATAAAACTGCACTTAACATCCATAATCAATGTGCTACGAACATCTGACAAACAATTGTAAATATTTAAAAAAATTATGAGCAATATTGTTTTATATACTTATAAAATTATCATATATACTTATCATAAAACTTGTCAAATTGTTTTGAAGTTTCAATGTAATCTTAAATTTGTCAAATTAATAGACGATATAAAAAAGCATGCATTTAAAAATTTACAATTTACATGCATAATAAGCTGTAATAATGTAATTATAAAAGTATAAATTTCATAACTCTATAGATTGTTTATATTTATTTATGTGATGCTTGTCATTTCAACTAACATGATATATATAATATTCATAAAAATGTTCAACATACAATTGGAAGTTTTGTTTTTCCTGTAAGAACTTCAGAAAAATGGATAAGCGCTTCAGTAACAAGAGTGGAAGCTTGTTTAGATCGTACATGGGAGGTATTGAATTCAGGCTGCTGGAAAGATGTGCCAATAGAATACAGATACTGTTATTCTCTATGTGTTATTATAAAGGTACAAAATAATTATTAATATATAATTTAACATTTATATATTGTTTTATTTATCTGACTTATATAAATTTTATTTGAAACTGCATTTGATGCATTTAGGCTGTATTATTAGAACTTCAGTGCGAAATAAATGCTGAAAGTCATGCTGATAAAGAGAAGAAAAAGACAGTATTAAAGAATATTATTAATCAAATTGATAGAGGCATTCTGTTAGGCGCACCTCTTCCCAGTATGCCAAATTTATTGACAAATGTTGCCACGAAGTTAAACAACTGTTGTGCTGGTAAGAATATCTATAAAAATATTTTAATGTAATACTAAGTTATTAATTGATTAAATTATTAAAAAATTATATTAAAATCGATTTTATCTTACAAATTTTATTAGAAAAATCTGATGCCATAAATATAGGAGATATTTCAATTAATCATGAGGAGACCAATTATTTAATTTCTAATCGCCCGGATAGACATTTTGAACAACCTTCGATGCAAACATTTTACAATAAAATTTTTATGCCAAAGTTACCGGCTGTATTAACAGGTAAACGATTTTGTATTATGACAAAGTTCTGAATTTTATTTATTAATTATGAACATCTAACAGTCATACTTACTTTTAAAATATAGGGAAACATGAAATATTAATTTTATACGTTTCATTAGGGTGTTTGAATCACTGGAAAGCACTAACATTATGGAAAAATCCTAACTATTTGAATAAAATCGCAGGATCTCGGACAGTACCAATTGAAATTGGATCCCGTTATACTGAAGAAGATTGGACACAGCATCTTATTAATTTTTCTGAATTTTTACAAAAACACGTTATTGCAAATAATAGCGAAGTTGGTTATTTAGCACAACATCAATTATTTGAACAGGTACTAATTCGCTAACTCGACGAAATTTGTTTTATAAAAACGCAATTTTTAAATTAATCTCAGATACCAGAATTGAAAGAAGATTTTGAAGTGCCAGAGTATTGCTGCTTTTCGGATAATGAGGAGAATGATGCGGATTTGTCAGAAGTTGATATAAATGCCTGGTTTGGGCCGGCTAATACAGTGTCGCCTTTGCACTTTGATCCAAAAAATAATCTACTTTCTCAGGTATATAAAAATAGATTTATAGTGGAAATTGCTCTAGTAAAAGATTAAACATTTTTTAATTTATATTATATCTTGCATATTATTTATAATTAGTGTCGTTTTTTTTATTTTTTAGGTATTCGGCTACAAAAGAATTATTTTATATTCTCCAGCCGAGACAAATAATTTGTATCCTTATGATACTAAGTTACTTAACAATACTGCCCAAGTAGATCCTGTAAGGCCAGATTACGAAAAGTGGCCAAATTTTCGTCAGGCCAGTGGTATGACGTTTTACTTAAAGCCCGGAGAAATGTTATATATTCCACCAAAATGGTGGCATCATGTAACCGCCCTTACTCCGAGTTTTTCGATCAGTTTCTGGTGGGATTAATGTTTATTTTATGTAAATATGTAACAATTTATTAACATATAAATTAGATTTTTTATTATCAATTATTTATTCCTTATTACAACATATATAATATTGTGATGAAAATAATATATAGATACAGTGACTTCATATATACGTAGTCAAAATATGAACACATTTTTTTATTACAAATACAATATAGACAATTGAAAAATATTTAAAAATATTTATACAATTCTAAATAAAAAAGACGTCAATAATTTAAGATTATGTAAGAAAATCTATCTTTCTATACAAATAATTCATTTTTCTTTACTTACATAAAAATAAAAATTTACGTAATGCACATATTCAATGAGTTTATTATAATTTTTTCGTAAGTGCATAAAAAAATTCGTTTCAGCTGATTTTATAAATTATCGTTTGAATAAAAAATTATTGAATTAACAACAAATTATTAATTATTAATTTTATATTAAGTAATAATCAACAATATATATATATATATATATATATATATATATAAAGTAAAAAAAATACGTATATATATCTTCCGATCCATATGAAATAAAATAAACGTTATATTTGTAAATTCGCGTGATTGTTAATTTATCAGCTTTGAATATTAACGTAAAGTTTGCGGTTACTTAACAAAGGCACGACATAGGAGTTTAACAAAAATAACATAGAACTCTATTAATATCCGGCAGTCTACGTCTTCAGCATGGTGCTTACAGAGCGCGCGTGTACGTAGAGTTTGTCAAAGAGAATATACAGTTTACTATTTAGTAATGACGAAAGAAGACGCATTCCCACCGATCATTAGGCTTCAGGTAAAGACGCGTGTCAATTAACATCGATTGCTTTTACAACATCTTCCATTTTCAATTTTTTTTTTTCAAATTTCTTGTGTACGCGAAAGATCTTGAAATCAAGCGTTTTATATAACAATTCTTTATAGCTTCAAGATCCCTAAACGCTGTTGCTGAATTTAATAAACATGTTTGGTGATTTATCGATTGACATACTTCGCAATATGTATATTTAGACACGTTCAAATACAACATTATACAACTGCATCGATAAATAATAAAATTAACTTTTTATATGAAAAATAAAAAGGATTAAACAATGTAAAATTAATATCAGATGTAACAGTGTAAATAAATATCAGACGACCGCGAATCAGCTGACATTTCGCTATCGAGGTTCGCTCGTGGCGATTATTGGACACTGTCCAGTAAGCGATAGCTCGACACTATTTTTAGAAATAATTTGTCAGAGTATCCGGAAACGTTACTTATGTGTGTTTGAAAAAGTAATTGTTAAATACTATGTCGACATCTTCGCCGCCGTAACGTTAATATTAATTATCCTTTGATTTCAATGCTTGCTTATTTCTCGAGAGGAAAAGTTATTTGTGCTTCGCTTTCCATAAATCAAATATAACACATCTTGGCAGTTTTCAGAATGAGGATTTCATGTACAAGTGTCTCTTCCGTGTGTCTTTTGCGTTTTAATTTCTTTTTTTTTTCTGAAGTAATGATAATTTTTATTTGTTAAAATTATTAATGATAATTTTTAATCAAGCAAAATTAAGTAAATTTAGCAAAATTATGCCGCAATAAATTTATTATTATATATGTATTGTTATTATATAAATACATATATATATATATATATATATATGTATATATATATATAATATATACATATATATGTATAACAATTCAAAATTTATAATATCTTCCCGTACTCGCAAGCATGTACGCCACGTGAAAATAATTTGAATCCTGTGATTGACAGCAATTCGATCAAGAATTATTATCGACAATGTGTGTATAGAAAATAAATTGCTGGACGCGGTAATAAGGGCAGAACCTCTATATGTATCCGTGAAATCTCACAGCCGATTGGTGCGCAAGAGAATTAAGGGTACGAGAAGTGTGGCAGCATGCTGGAGTCGGGGGGTCGCGGCCTTGGATGAAGTCACGCGAGTGCAAGGTTGTACCGAGGGATGTATGCGACAGGGTGACGCGCATACATACATAACGTTGTTCTTCCTACTTGCGGCCACACAAACTCGTCTGGTAAAGATTTTATTGATCGTAATGTACAACGACATGCTGCTTATTTCTGTCGAGATACGATTTAGGACGTTGACGTTACCGTTTACCAAAATAATGCTAAAATTATTTTTTGAAGTCGTCAAGAAATTTAATAGTAAATCGATATATTCTAATTTAATAACCAAATAAATCTTAGAGAGAGAGAGAGAGAGAGAGAGAGAGAGAATATTGTTTAATATATTGATTAAAAAATATACGAAAATTTAAAAAGAAAATTTAAATAAAGCTAATAGTTAAAATAACTACATATGATGCGTGTAAATATAATATTTATGTATTTCAAATGATAACTATTCGATTATCTTTCATTTATATTATAATTATTATAATGCTTGGCTATATTTCTCATGTGTCAAGCTTCCATGTCTCGTAACTTTCTCTTTAAAAATTTTACGAATTTTTCAAGCACAAGCTATCGTGGCTTAAGAAGGTATTTTGCGTTGAGTAGCAATTCTCTCCCAGTTCAATCTCGCGCACATTCGGCTAGGTGTCTTTACCTCCGCCGGCTGAAAGAAGGATAGCTCCGGGCATGGATAATGTTTGCACGTGGTGGCTCGAATACGAAATGCATCACTTGCAATTCCCGCAACCCCTCATATCTTGCACACGAGAGGGTGCGCGCCAATGTGGTTTCTTTCGCAGAAGTTCCGTTTTCCATCTTCCCCGTCGGTAATCCAAGCTTGATGGTGATTCTACAGCGAACACCTTTATATAACGTCTCTGTATAAACTGTTCTATAGCGAATATATCAGATCAGGAGAAAAGGTCGGGTGCAACAAGATAAATTGAGAAATGTGAAGAGGGATGAGAGGAGGCTTATTGTGTTCAAAATAAAATGCATACAAAAAAATAAAATACATTGGTAAATTCGATCGATTATCCCGATTTCTATCGAAGAAAGATTGAACAATTTATTTCACAAAGCAGACACAAATTAAACGACTCCATTTTAATTAGGACAATAACTTTGATAAATTTTTATTTTTTTATGAAAATTTTATTTAATGTATTTTATGTTATATACATATATATATATATATATGTTATAAAAATATATGTATCTAATTAGAAAAAAATACGTATTTTTAACACAAAATGTAACAACCAAAAATACCATCTTTTAAAATCGTATAAAATATAATGTGCATCTTACATAAAACGCAATGTATGCATTCTAGAATTAAGCAATTTAAAGTGCCAATTTGTCAAGGTTCCAAAAGTATCAACAAAAAGAAAAAAGGAGGTAAAAAGCAAAAGAAATTTTTACTGCTAAAACAGAGAGTGGCACAATGCAGCGATGCGGAGTAACAGAGAAAGCGGAAACAATGCGGGAGTTATAGAAGGGCGCGAGAGAGAGAGGGACCGGCGACGGGAAGACGGACGACGCATGTGCCTCTCGGGGAGGGTGCGAGTGAGCCGGCAACCACCCCCCGGTGCAAGCCACCCCCGTGTGGTGTTCCCTCTATATGCGAGATCGTTGTCGCTCGATTCTGCGCCGTTGCGTGTTTCCCGCAGGGCGGCTCCTACCGCCTAACGCTCTCTTCCTGGCGTTATCGTGCGCACCCCCGAGGGACGTGTGCACAAATGGTGGTGTAACGTGCGCGGTCGGTGTTAAAGGAGAGACGAGCGTCTCTCTCGTGCGTGCGTGCGTACGGTCGACGTCAGGCCCCGAGCAGTCTGGAGGCGCTTTCCCTGGCCCAGCAAATTTGCCGCAATGGTCACCGACAATACTAGTCAGGTACGGTGTCTAACAGAAGCGGTATAGCGGTTCGGAGCCGGCACTCGCATTCTCTCTCTTTCTCTATCTCTCTTTCTCTTTCTCTTTCGTGCATGCACCCTCTTTCTCGTCCATTCCGAAATGACCGATCGAAGAAGACGATGAGAGCGGTGGAATTTTCAAGCCCCTTTTTAGCTCTAGACTCACTTGCAAAATTCAGCGTTTTTCCAAGAACTTGCGATACTATATAATTCATAAGCGTCAAAAAATGATATCTGTACAGTTAAATCAGAATCGCAAAAACCGGCCGGAGATTAATAATGCGTTTCTAAGATTCTGAACAAACATCCGAAATTATTACTTTTGTGGAGTATACAAGTTTGAGTGTCGTATTTAGAGAGGGGAAAATATGTCTTATATATAATATCTATGTTATGTTTTCATAAAAATTATTCTCGCGTGCCAAAAAAAGACATATGAGAATTTGAACTCGTTAAATTATACAAAAAATTATACCAATTTCCAATTATGGTTTTATTAGCAATGGGGTATCGCATGGACACGAAAGTGCTTTCTCGGGGTAACAGAAAGGATACAAAAGGAGGGTGGGCTATCAGGGCGATGCGCGAAATAGACCGGATGGGGCATTCAGGCGCGACAGCCGGCGAATACGGCGCGCATCGATGCCAAAGAGGAATGCGGCGATAGCGGCAGTTGTCGCGCGATCAAAAAGCTGTAAAAGCGCGATTCGTTGGTACACTGTATCGAGACGCAGTGTAGGAGCCGGCAGGAGTTACCGGTCAAAGGTCAGGGTGACGGAGCATAGCACGCGCGCGCGCGCGCACAAATAGCGTTGACGCGGGGCAGACCACCTGGCCGACATGGTTCCTTAACGTGATGATTCACAGCGGGGTCGTAGACAGAGGGGCGAAATACGCAGAATTCTCGTTCCTCGAGGAAACAAACCAGAAAACCACGAGATAATTAACTTTAATCGTAGATTAACGATAATTAAATTTTCTTTTATTTTCTACATTCCGTATAATAATTTCTACATTCCATAATATTAATGGATCCAAAATTTATTAATCTTATGGGCTTTCTTCAAATTTCTTTAAGCTTTTGTTATTCTTTAGATGTATGTAGGTCTCGAAAAGTTTCAAAACTGTCTACAGGAAAAGAATAGGTTTTTGTAAGTATTCGACGCAATTTAATATCTGCATTGCTTTGGAGTGCAAATTAGTACTAAGTATATCATAACGTTGATTAATAAGAAGGATAATAACAATATGCACGAAGTGTTAAACATGCGAGGGTAAAAGAAAAAGGACAGGGTTGCATCACCGTCACAAACTGGGTTACTTGTACATCATATCTATATAAATAACCATACGCATCTTTGTCTTTTTTTTTATTATACTTTATCGTTGCCCTTCTATTTTCCATGTTGTCTTTTCTACATACTTCTAAATATTTCGCCTCTACAGCCGTTTATTACAAAATAAAATATTTTTCTTTAGGCTGATGACACGACAGCATTTCTTCGAGCTGCTCGGTCCGGCAACCTCGAGAAAGTGGTCGAATTTCTCGATACCGATTTAGATATTAATACAGCCAACTCGGTAAGCGTTAAACTCAAAATATCAAGTTATTTATTGAAGTTATTCAATTTTATGTAATCGAATTTCAGTATTATTTGAAATAATACTAATATTATTTTAAATAATACAATTAAGTTTAACAATTAATTAATAATTTTTATATAAGTAACTATAAAACAAGAGACTACCTATTTTTGAATTTAAATTTACTTTTTTATTTTATTTTACTTTTTGTCACATATTTAACTTTCAATCAAATAAAATAATTAAATTTGATTTAAATATTTTTAGTTATAATAAATTAATTTATGTTTTATTTTAGAATGGTTTAAATGCCTTGCATTTAGCCTCGAAGGATGGTCACGTTGAGATAGTAACCGAGTTATTAAAAAGGGGCGCAAAAGTGGATGCGGCAACGAAGAAAGGAAATACCGCGTTACACATAGCTTCGTTAGGTAAAAAATGATAACATCCATTGCATATGCGCTATCATAATTGTAGTTTTATACATAATTTTGGTCTTTATTTTCAGCTGGTCAGTCCGAAATAGTTAATATTCTTATTCAATATGGTGCCGCGGTTAATATCCAGTCGCAAAATGGATTCACTCCTTTATACATGGCTGCACAAGAGAATCACGATCAGGTCGTCAAGCTCCTGCTCGGCAATGGAGCGAATCAAAGTCTCGCGACTGAAGTAAGCTTGGTTTATTTTCTTGAACTAGATTACTTAATTGCAGATTTCCATGCTGTTGTAACTTTTTAATAATTTCAATTATATATCATTCCCTTTCATTTTTATTTATCTAATAACAGCGAAGGAAATCTGGGCTGTTTTAAATTTTTGATGAACTGAAAGTTATATATATATATATATATATATATATAACTTTCAGTTCGTCAAAAATTTAAAACAGCCCAGATTTCCTTCGCTGTTATTAGATTAAAAATATGAGTTTAAAAAAACATGATTTTTAAATAATTTTTGCTGTATGTAATTTATATATATATATACATATATATATATATATGTATATATATATAAATTACATATAGCAAAAATTATTTAAAAATCATGTTTTTTTAAACTCATATTTTTAATTAGTTTAATAATCTTGGACTAGAGTTTTACACTCTCTTATTTAAAAAAATTAAGATTATTATTTTGACATTTTTCAGGATGGATTCACACCGCTTGCTGTGGCGATGCAGCAAGGCCACGATAAGGTGGTCAGCGTACTCCTAGAGAATGATTCGAAGGGCAAAGTCAGACTACCAGCACTGCATATCGCCGCGAAGAAAGACGATTGCAAAGCCGCTGACTTGCTTTTACAAGTAAGCTTAAAGCGGATCTCTTATGTGAACCAAAAATGAAATGAATTAAAAAACAAGTAAGCGAATTAAAATACTACGTCATTGTAACGATTGAATGTTACAGAACGACCACAAACCCGATGTGACATCGAAGAGTGGCTTCACCCCTCTTCACATCGCCGCTCATTATGGAAACGAGGAAATAGCGCGGTTATTAATAAAACGAGGAGCCGATGCAAATTATTTAGCTAAGGTAAGGTATATTCGATGATTTTTACAAAAATATAATTCTACGAGACAGTTTAAAAATAATTTGAGATCTAAATTTTTGAAATTGAAGATATAACGTGTTCTAAAAATGTAGAAATGCAATTCAAAATAACGTGAGATTATACGTTTTTAATATTATATACATATAATAATAAACTGTACTTTATGTCTCTCAGAAATAGCACAGTTTTGATTATCTTTAAAATAATTTTAAACTTAATATTATGATTTAGTAGTTTTTCACTGTAATGTGTATTTTCCTTAGCATAACATAAGCCCGCTACATGTGGCGGCAAAGTGGGGCAAGAACAATATGGTTAAGATACTGTTGGAGAACTCGGCGCAAATCGATGCCAAGACTAGAGACGGTTTAACTCCGCTACATTGCGCAGCGCGATCGGGACATGAACAGGTTGTCAGCACGCTTCTTGAAAATTCGGCGCCGATCAGCGCGCGTACTAAGGTATAGTCTCGCATTTCTTCCATTTTCATCATTTTTATAATAGCTATAATAATAATTATGACAATAGTAATTATAAAGATTAAAACTGAAAAATTAAGATTTTAACATTTAACAATAGATTGCAATTATATTTAGAAACTGTGGTGCTGAAAAATTTTAGTTACCAAGGTGCTAATTCTCTAATTCTGTATGTGATTCACAGATCAATGTTTCAGATGTTTAGATTTTACATATATGTATATTTTACGATCTGTTACTTTGTCTTAAATTAAAATGATCTTTCTTGCAGAATGGCCTCGCACCGTTACACATGGCGTCTCAAGGAGACCACGTGGACGCTGCAAGAGTGCTGCTGTACCATCGGGCGCCAGTAGACGAAGTGACCATCGATTATCTGACCTCGCTCCACGTTGCCGCACACTGCGGTCATGTTAGAGTCGCCAAGTTGTTACTCGATCGTAAAGCCGATCCGAATGCTCGAGCTCTTAATGGCTTCACGCCGCTCCATATCGCCTGCAAGAAGAACCGCATCAAGGTGGTGGAACTTCTATTGAAGCACGGTGCATCTATCGAGTCGACCACGGAGGTAATGTAACACGTTTCTTCGTTCGCACTCTGATCAAGCATTTCGCATCATGTTTTCATAAATGTCTATTCGCAACTGTAAATCACAAATAATGTTTTCACACAGTGTCAATAGCAACGTTCGATGGAATATTACGAAGCCGAATTGTGATATCGATCGCATTTGCACAGAAATGATCGTTTTAACGCGCGAACGTATGCGTGTTCGGAGTATAATAATTAAAAGGTCACATTGATATATGTCGCACATGTGATGGTAATTAACGTTGTTAAGAAGAATCTTCGTCCGTCCTTCTGTGCCCCGCAAAAATAAAATCGATCGATAAATTTCAAAGACTGGTTAAAGGGTCGTGCGTTTAATAATAAAACTAACAAAATTAGTCGGCGTGATTTTCTTCTCTTGCGATCATTTTTATGTATTTATTCCTCGACAGTTTTCGAGACATTGATTGCCGGAACGATAACGACAACGATAAAGAATCAAATCGACGGACTTAATTCTGGAGTCATATCGAAAAGTCGAAATATTAACAGACAATACGTGTGTTTTGCAGTCCGGACTGACTCCATTACATGTGGCCAGTTTTATGGGGTGTATGAATATCGTGATATTCCTACTGCAGCATGAAGCCAATCCCGACGTGCCAACTGTTAGGGGTGAAACACCCCTGCATCTGGCAGCTAGAGCTAATCAAACAGACATTATTCGAATTTTGCTAAGAAATGGTGCCAAAGTCGATGCTCGTGCAAGGGTAAGTAGTGCGTGTTGCATTCCGAAATTCCGAATCCGACCCTTTTTTCGCCGCTTTCTCGACCTTCAGCCAATGAATCTGCTTGTTTAACTTAACGAACAGCGAATACCTCTCCTGAAAACCAAAATTATAATCTAGAAAGTCATATACATACAAATGATCATACTCATACGCACCCCTTTATACAAAAGCATGAGCCATTAACCAGTCTCATATGCCGAAGTTCAAATTTATCTTTTCTTACTGGCGATATGTAATTGAAGTGTGTGATCTTCCAATTGCAAGTAAGACGAATCTAGTGTTGTTTCTCACGCTTTCTTTTTTAATCACTCAAATTTTTAAGGCACAATAATACGAACACTGATTTGTAACTCGAAACTTTTCTATGACCACGAGATCTCATCGCAACATCACCTTCACGCTTTCACCTACTGCTTCGCAAAAAAATTAATTTTCACCGTCGCATCTTTTTAATATCATTTTTTTGTTATTTTGTAGGAACAGCAAACACCGCTTCATATAGCGTCTCGATTAGGAAATATCGATATTGTTATGCTGCTGCTGCAGCACGGCGCGGCTGTGGACACCGCTACGAAAGACATGTACACGGCGCTTCATATCGCGGCGAAGGAAGGTCAAGAGGAGGTAATGTACAATGAATGCGTGCAAATAGCGGATTACATCGACACGCAAAACAGAACATACCTGTTCTGGACCCGGCAACGGGAGTACCTTATTTAGGATGCAGGAGAGAATGCCACTGCGGACACGTTTGTCGTTATCGTTATTACCTGTGCACATTGTTCGCATCGTTGGTTCACGTTTCGCACATATTCTGTTTTACATCTTCTGTTAATATAATTTTGTTTACGTTGATTATACATTTTATGTTACGTTTATCCATCATTGTATTCGTTATATAATAAACTTTTTCGTTACGTTGTTTATTCTTTATGTTACCTTTATTTCTTCATTTTTACGGATATAATTTTACTCAAATAATTTCATACTTTTCAAACTACGTTCTAAAAATTTGTTATCCATTTATCTTATCGACGCTTCTCTTCCCTCCTCCCCTGGCCATGTATATTTTTTTTTTATTATCAAACAATCTCATTACACGAAGGTAGCCAAATTGGACGTAATTTCACCCCGTGACATTTGGCAATCACTTCATTCCTCCAAGGCTAAATATTGATTGTCAAGCCAAACATATTTAAAGTTCCCCTTATATTTCTGCGCGTCTCATAAATAATTTACTAACGCTTTCGTACAAACGCGAATGTGATTAAAGTCATTAAACAAGCATTAACCTAATTCCAATCATTCTAATTTATGAAATTTGTTATTTTCGTAACTGTGTCATGTCGCTCGAACACACGAATATATCGATTTTTAATAAATTCCTCATTTCTAATGGACATCTTTATTACGGGAGGTAACCTAATATTTTTATTAAATTTAATACTTGATATCATATCTGAAGTTTCACTCTATATAGCATAAAATTAATTTTTTATAAAAAATTGGAAGAAGATTAGTTATAAAAATGATAAGAAAATGATAAGAAATTATCTGAAATAACTGAAAGAAAAGTCTGCTTCATTTTACAAAAGTGCAAAAAGGAAGATAAGTTCCAGAAAATCTTTTTATAACACAACAAATTTTCTGATAAACAGGTGGCAGCCATTCTTGTGGAGAACAATGCTTCTCTCAAGGCTGCAACGAAAAACGGCTTTACACCTTTACATATCGCGGCTAAATACGGAAATATGAATGTTGCAAATATACTGTTGCAAAAAGAAAGCAAACTCGATGTCCAAGGAAAGGTTCGTGTTCAAAATTTATACGTAAATTATATCGAGTTGTGTAAAAAAATACATCAGACATCTAGGCAAAAGAAAAAGAACACAATATTCCTTATTTTATACAGTAATTTTAGTTCTTTAATATTATTTCTTACTATATTAGTAATTGCACAATATTATTCTTTTTAGGATTACCAACAAAATTGCTGAAAAAAGAATTTAAGATAATAGATATCTAAAAATTGAAAAATAATTGTTTTTAAATTTCACTTAAAATTTTTTTCACTGAGATTTTCTTTATACAACGCGATATTGTATTGCATAAATTATCTTTTGACTTTCAAGCAGGTTCCATTGAGATGTGCTAAACGTATGCTTGACATTTCAGAACGATATCACTCCTTTGCACTTGGCATGTCACTATGACCATCCAAATGTTGCGACTCTCTTGTTAGAAAAAGGAGCGTCGCCTCATCTTGCGTCGAAAAATGGGCACACTCCGCTACATATCGCTGCTCGCAAAAACCAGGTGAAATTATCTCGACATTGTGGAAAATTTTAAAATAACGCTTGAAATGTTTTCTCTAACGCATGAATGTTTACACTTCTTTAATATTCATTATTATTGCTATTAACCATTTTACGAAAACGATCTCTTTCACGCGGCTAGATGGACATCGCTTCTACTCTCTTGGACAGAGGGGCGAACGCAAACGCGGAGTCCAAAGCGGGTTTCACCCCGTTGCATCTGAGTGCGCAAAAAGGACATTATGATATGACGAATTTGCTAATTGAACACGGTGCTAATCCCAATCACAAAGCCAAAGTAAGTCTACTTTCTCTCCAATATTTCATATACTTGTAGATTTCGATTTTTAGAAGCTTAATCAGAGTTACTATATGCAATTCATTATTTAATTTTTATTCTTTGTTATATAAAATTAAAATTTTTGCGAGTTCTTCAACTTCTTTTTCACAATGTTCCTTAAATTATTTTTATTATCCACATATTTTTCTTATGTTTTTGCAGTTATAGAAATTAATATTTTAAATAATATTGGATATCAACTTTCTCTTTTTGGCATCGTCGAAAAAATATTTTTAATATTTATTATCTGCAAATAAGTAGAGATAAAGAATGATGAATCTATTATTTTCTTATTACTATCTATCAGAACGGACTCACGGCATTGCATTTATGCGCGCAAGAAGATTTCATTAGGGTGGCCTCTATCTTGGTAAAAAACGGGGCCGACGTTGAAAGTCAAACAGAAACTGGCTATAGACCGATACACGTGGCCGCGCATTTCGGGAATCTGTCAATGATACGCTTTTTGTTAAAACATAACGCCACGATCGACGTTAGAACTAATCAGAATTACACCCCGCTTCATCAGGCCGCTCAACAAGGTCATGCTCATATCGTCACTGCTTTGTTGGAAGGAAACGCTTCACATAAAGCGTGTACTAACGTAAGCAACATATTATTGCTATGTATGCAATTATATGTATAAGTGTCTCTATTCATGTTTTGATTATTATATAATCATTATTTATTATATACTATTTATTATATGTATAATAACTATTAATTTATTAATAATAAAATTAATCTAAATATATATATATATATATATATATATATATATATATGTATATCATTTTAATATAAAATTTTGTAAAGCTTATATTCTTAAGATAATTAATTAGGTAAACTTTTGTAGACTTTTGTCTTTTCTTAAATTATTAAACATTTAGATAACATAAATATCATACAAATTTCTATAAAAGTAAATTACAAATTACAGATTACAAAATATTACTAAAAAATGTGAATTCTATAGTATTAAATTTTCATAAATTTATAAAACTAAAAAATTATAGGATGGTTTAACGGCACTGAACATAGCGCAAAAATTAGGGTATATTTCTGTGATGGAAGTACTGAAAGGATTGCCTTATGACAGTATGACTCCAGATAACAAAAACTGGGAGGAAAAGTACAAAGTAATAGCTCCAGAAAGCTTGCAAGAAACTAGTTTTATGTCCGATTCGGAAGATGAAGGAGGTATGGATGCACAGATACAAATAATACTAATATAAAATATAATTAAGTTTTTTGCAAAAAATTTTTTTCTTTTCAGGTTCTGACGCATTAATTAGTGAGCAACCTTATCGATACCTCACGGCAGATTTGATGAAGAGTCTAAGAGATGATTCATTGCCTATTGATGTTACTAGGGATGACCCGGTGCACAGACAAGGTAAAAAATGTACGGATGTATCCAATCAGTTTGTTTTAAAAATATAGTTTATTTTGTAACGTATATTATGAATTTTCATGAAATAATCGTATATAAACTAATTTAAGATATAATAAGATATATATTTGCAAAAATAAAAATATTAGAATAAATAATTAAAAAGCTTAGAAAGCGCCTTAACCATTTATTCTTTAAATCATTTTCTTATATATCTCTTGTTTGAGTGTATGTGTTTTAGTTAAATTTAAATAAAAATATTATGAAGCAGTTTGTAGACCGAAATAACTTGATTTTAAAGAGTTAGTATATTATAGAGACCTATAATTATTATTTTTATTTTAGTTACAAAAGAAGAAAAGCAGGAATTTGCACAAAGCAATAATTATTGTTTAGCAGAAAATTTTGATAACGACGGACTGAATCTGGGGTAAGTGTCAATTAATTTTTCTTCTACAATTATATATAATATATACAAATATATAATTTTAGTATTACGTTATTGCAAAAAATTTAGAATTGTTTATTTAAAATTAAAATTAAGAAAACTTTTATTTAAAAAATTTTTGTTTAGACTTGATTTAAGAATGTGTGTTTTCCTTTGTAGGAAGCTGCACTTCAGATCGTAAGTATAACAGTGGATAATTGATTAAAAAAAAAAAAAAAAAATATCCAAATAAGTGCAAAGAATTACAAAGATCTGGATTTACAGATTTTTAATTAGTTTTCTCGTGGATGCGCGTGGCGGTGCTATGAAGGGATGCAGACACAGCGGTGTGCGCCTTATTGTACCGCCTCGAAGAGCAACGATGCCAATTCGCGTAACATGCAGACTAGTAAAAGCAAATAAAGTGGCGAATCCGCCCCCTTTGATGGAAGGGGAGGCTCTTGCTACTCGTATTATTGAGATGGGTCCAGTGGGTGCGAGATTTTTAGGGTAACACTTAATTGTCCAATATAGTTGATATGTATAATATGTATATGCTAAATATGTATATATAAAGTAAACTCTCTAATATTCGAGTTTACAATTACATGGAAATAAACCGATTTCAGACCCGTCTTAATTGACATACCACATTTTGCGTCTGTTCATGGGAAAGAACGGGAAATTATTATCCTGCGAAGTGAAAATGGAGAAACGTGGAAGGAACACGATAACTCCGTGGATAATGACGATACTCTCCTCAATACGCCTTACGGTATATGATTTCCGAAAAATTAATGTTTGATTGTATTTTTTTATTTTAAATGTTTATCACGGACGTATTTTCAAAATTTTTATTTTTTGTTTTTTTTTTAATCTTTTTCCATATAATATAATGTGTAATTTATTAGACAAGTTGCCTTGCTTTTGAATGAGGCAATATATTCAAATTAATATATAGTCTTAATAAATGCTTGAAATTTTTAATTTTAATATAATTATTTATATTCACAATTAATTAATTACAATTAAAATCTTTTTTCAGATCCTCAGATGAGCGTTGCACACTCGGGCAGAATCACTCGTATAATTACCACTGACTTCCCGCAATATTTTGCTATCGTAACTCGAATCAAGCAAGAAGTTCACGTTATCGGCGCCGAGGGTTGCATTTTGTTATCTAGCGTAGCAAACCACGTGCAGGCCGTTTTTCCACCGGGAGCGTTAACGAAAAAAATCAAAGTCGGCTTGCAGGTAATTAAATCTATAGATTCGACAGTCACATGACCGCAAGTAAGAGGATGACAATTCTCTAAAAGTGAATCAGTGAAATCGACACTAATTTTTAGTGTATATCATTTTCCAATGGCATACTTTGAACTGTGATAAACAGTGACTATTTTAATGTTGTTCTAGTGATAATGTATTGATTCAAACAATGAATATCACAGAAAGACATTGAATTTCAGTTCTCAAAATTGTTTGACAGTGAAACTCACTGATTTTCAGTTTATATGATCATATTTACTGTTTAAATCAGTATATTATCATTGAAATAATATTGAAATAGTCATGTTGCTCATCACAGTTCAAAGTATATCATTGAAAAATAATATACGCTGAAAATCAGTAATGATTCCACTGATTCACTTTTAGAGAAAAAGAAATATAAAGCTCTTATCTGTACTTAGGCGCACGTTATTCCGGCTGAACTCACGGCCAAATTGCTCGGCAATTGCGTTGCTGTTTCACCGGTGATTACGATTGAACCCAGACGACGGAAATTTCACAAACCGATAACCCTTACGATCCCCGTGCCGCAAGCAGCAAACAAGGGGATGATCAATCAGTACGGTGGAGAGACACCTACATTACGCCTCTTGTGTAGCATTGCAGGTATCTATAGATATTTTACAATTCAGACAAGCAAGCAAAATAAATACAACTTACCTTTCACATTTAGCAATAACTAATTATTACAAGAAAATAATGTGATATTTAATAATAATTGATAAATTATTACAAGAAAATTATTTTTATTAATAGGAAATATTTACAAGCATGTACATGTGGTTCAAAAATTATCTACAGCTTTATCTATAATAAAGACGTTTTCTTTGTATATAAATAAAAAATTTAATTTAAAATTAAAAATATTTAAAACGTATTTTATAATTAAAAAAAGAGATAATAATATTGAATATTAAAGAGCAAAATTGTTAGTATTACACAATTAAATTAATTTAAAAATAACTGCTATTTAATTTTTATAAATTAATTCAATTATATAGTAAATATCAGTTTATGATTAATATTACAGATTAATTTATAACTAATATAAATATGTTTCTTCGTTTTTATTGACAAGCATTAATTCTGAATCATATTTTAAGAATCTATTTCTTGTTTTTACAATAATGTTTTTACAATAATTGAAATGATAAAAATTATTTAACTTTAGGTGGGACCAACGAGTCACAATGGGAAGACGTTACCGGATCAACGCCGTTAACATTTATGAACGATAAAGTGTCGTTCACCACTACTGTTTCAGCAAGATTTTGGTTGATGGATTGCAGAAATATCGGGGCAGTACCGAAAATGGCAACGGAGTTATATGAGGCATCCTTACATGTGCCATATATAACTAAGTGAGCGACTTTTCTATAATTCATATATAGCTATTATAGTAGCAATTCTCACATTAACATGAACAAATATTTCTCTCTATGTAGCTTCATAATATACTCCAAGAGAATGGACGTGTTGGAAGCTACATTGCGAATATTATGTATGACTGATGGCAAGGAAGGCATGCACACTTTGGAGAGACAAGAGGAATTTACGGAAATTGTTAAAAGTCGCGATGTTGAGGTATTGTCATGATATAGCAAAAAGTATTAAAATATCTTGATTGTAAAACTTTTTTGAGCAAGAATCAATTTTACAGGACATATAATTTTTTACTAGAGTCAGATAAATCTTTTTTCTTAAAAATTTTTGTTTGGGATATAAGATGGATTATTTATTATTATCGTATTAATATCTATTCTATTGATATATTTATTTATTTTAAGTAATAATATTTTTTTTTTATAAAATCACTATTTGAAAATTGTTAATGTAGCAATGGCAGAATTTAATTACTTGATGAATATTTGTTTAACATTAGGCGCTTGATGGGAAAGACCTGTATATTGAATTTAGTGGGAATTTAGTACCAGTAACGAAGTCCGGTATGCAGTTGAAGTTCACGTTTAGGGCTTTCCGACAAAATCGATTGTCATTCCATGTTAAAGTAAAAGATCCGTTATTGGATCCAGTAGCGAGGATGTTGTTCATGCGGGAACCAAAAGTTGCTAAAGGAGAACCACCTCAGCAGCCTGTTTGTGTGTTAAATATTGTCCTCCCCGAAACTATTATTAAACATGACATAAAGAAGAGATTAAAAGGTAGGTCTATCAAATATTATAATATATATATATATATATATATATATATATATAATATAAATATATATATAATGTAAAAGAAAAATATAAAGCATACAAAAAATTTAAGGTATTATCATGATATAGTGTAAAAAGTATTAAATTATCTCAATTGTAAAACTTTTTAAGCAAAATTAATTTCAACAGGATCTTTTTTCTTAAAAATTTTTGTTTTGGATATAAGATAGATTTTTTTCCGCATCAAACATAGATAGATTAAATTATAATAATCCTAGTTTCTAATATAATTATTTTAATAGTTATGTGTAACATCATTTTGTTTTAAGTTTAAAAGAGCGTCTAATAAATTAATGCAAATAGAGAAAATTTATTTTTTTAAATATATAATTATTTAAGTAATAATATTACAATAAAAAATATAAGAAATTGTATAATATTATTTTCTTTGTATATTAGATAATTTATATAAATTTTAAATGTAAAAAATAATTTTTTAAAAATAAAATTAAAATTTATTAAAAAATTGAAAAAATCTGAAATTGAAATTAAATTAAAGATTTATAAACGACGTCCTTATACATATATCACTATTAATAATGATATTTTTGTTGCTATAGGTTATGAAGATTCTAATGTCATAAATCAAAAACTAGATTATTATAAATCAAAGTACAAAATGGAACAAATGGAGAAAACTGATAAGCCTAAAGAAACCTCACCAACGGAAAAGAAATTCATAACCGACACGTTACAAAAGGAACAAACAGGTATGATATAAAAAAACTGTAGAAAATAGAAAGAGCATATTTGACTTATATAATGCATATATAAGTATTGAATATGAATATTCCAAAAAAATAGATCGCATATCGAAATATTCAAATCAAAAAAGTTCAAACTTCCAAATCAGTTTCGTCTATAACACTAAAAATGCAAGGTGCAAAAAGAGAACTTGCGTAATGAAGCATTAAGTGTTGTCGATGAATATATTTTATTACGTGAAGATATTTTTATATTGTATCGATATGGCGATGTCTCGAGAAAGGTCTGGCGACGTAGGCCGTTCGTAAGCGAAGTGTGCAACATGGCAAAAAGAAAATGTTTTGACAAGGTCGAAAAGAAAATCCTTGTCGAATATCGTTTCGTCTTCAACTTGAAAATAATGAAATTCGATTGTCATTGTATTTTAATTTAAGGGGAGAAAGATAATCGGCTTACGGTTTAGGAGTTGGGTGAGGCTTCCTTAACTTAATTAGACGTAACTGCATCAACAAATGCTTGAAAGTGCCGGCGGTGGACTTCTTTAGTTCTATCCGTACCGATGAAGAGAACGGTGCAAATTTCATATTCTTTCTTTCGAGCATCTATACATAATTATTAAAACGTGAGTCTTTTTAGTTTTGCCACGAGTTTGTTTATTTTTACTAACTTTCTCTTTTTGTTTTATTTCATTTATCTCATTAAAGTTAAAAAATTTAATGCAAGAATGAGATAAATTTATAACTTATAAAATCTGTTTTATGTACAAGAGATCGTATCTAAAATAGGTCTTACAAATTGTAAATTTAATATTTTATTTTTGTATTAAATTTTAATTTTGTACTAATATTTTTTATTATATTCTCATATTTGTTTTAAATAATTTATTTGAAATTTTATTTTGTGTTTTCTTTAAAGTTAATTTTTTCTTTCTCACTATTTTCAGTTTCAGGTATTTTTAAGTTCATTAGTAGATTGCACTTACAATCGGCACGTTAATCACATAAGATACTGAGCAGACATGACGACAAAAATCAATGAGCACGATCGCGTCGCGATGAAGCAAGATAGTCAAGCGAATGACAAGGAATGTTCTTCCGGAACGAAGATCAAGCGCAAGTCCAGATCCGCCAGAAGACGTTTGAATGCAATGATGAGTAACGCATCGTTGCATTTTTCCGATACGGATTCTGAGGGCGAATTGACAATGATCACCAGCAAGATCGGCAAACTTAATTCCGCGCAAGCTTCGCAAGCAAATCCGTTAATTTCTGTGACCAACGCGGAGGTCACCGAGCCTGAGATAAAGGTCAACGACAATCTGGATTATCTCATAGCCGACGGTGAAGCCAGATCCCGCTCAAGTCGCGGCAGCTTCGTGGAGAATCTCACTGACGTCGATGAGATCTACAGCGACGATGAGAAAGATACTAGTAGTAAATTAAAAGTGATTGATAACGACTATCAAGGGGAAACAGATGTGGAGGACATGGAGGGCGACGAGGATATTCAACCGACAATCTATGTCACTCCGAGATCGGACATTCTGACCGAGTTCGGCGGCGAGATGATCACGACCAAGGAAGGAGACGGGCCGTTCTCTGTAGAAGTGCGAAACCGATTGTCACGAGAAGAGGTTTCCATCGATAAACAAGATACTGAGAACATACCGGATATGCCAAATACCGACAGCGAGGATATGGAAGGATCCGAAGATGAGACTAAGTTGGATGAGGCAGCCGCTTTCAATCACATGTATGAGGATCTTGATATCCTGGCCGCATCGCAGATTGTTATGACCAACAAAATGGAAAACCCCCTATATGTTCCGGACACCGCCGATGAGGCTATCAGCGATTGCCACACCGATATCGAGGACGTCGATTAAATCAAATAGAATTGAAAGAAAAGATGAATTTAGAAAAATTATTTGAAGCATGCAAAATAATACAGTCCTTGGAATGAAAGCCAAGAGCAATTTCTATGATCTTTCTGATTATGTTTAACAAAAATTAGTGTACCATACAAATAAGGATGACAGGATGACATTATTATGAATAACAGAAGTAAGAAGCTTTTTCGATCGGTCGTGATCAGATAAAGTTACTGATGTTATTTAATGGGATCTGATACTTACAACTGCAACGCAAGTTGCGTAACATCTTATGTAAATATAAGAAATCTTGATTCAATTAGAAGTTCTTGTTCAACAGATAAGTATCTGTTATAAGGATCTTTCTGTGAGCCTTGGACGATATCAGGCATCTATCAAAATCTTCTAAAATGATCATAAAGATGTAATTAATTGACACAAAGTTTATTAACAAGCTGTATTGAATGTTGTGTCCTTTATATCGAACAGCTAGCAATTTTTTAAAATTAATTTATTTTTTATTAATTTTTCTCTTTGTCCTTTCCCATAAAAATTGTCCAAAAAATAATTCTCACATTTCTTGCATCGTAAAATATATATATATATATATATTTCAGAAAGTCATAAAAGAAAATAAAGAAAAAATATTTAAAAATAGGAAGTGTAAATAAAATATCTGTTTTTATGCTTAAATTTAATTAAGAATATTAAATTTAATTTAATTCTTACAATAAATATATTACGAAAGATATACCATATGTATACATAGACTTATTTTCTGGGCAATTTATGAGCACTATATATAGTTTATTACAAATTCTTACGTTTTCCTTTTTGCACCGTGCCTTTAAAACTTAATAAATCTCCTTTTTAAAACTTAATAAATTTTCGATGGGGCAAACCTGATTCAAATAAAGTAAAATTACACGATATATAATTTATTTCTGGAAAATTAATAAATAATTAAATTAGTGATTTTTGGAAAATGACAATTGTTTAGCATCAAACTTGAAATAGCGTTAGTTAATAAAAAAAGTCCGCTTATAACAGCTATAATATACAATTAAACATCGTTTCATTTATAAATCCAATAACAATACGATGCGCATCGAAACGATTATCGACAAATTAATTCTTATGTCCTCGTTATGAAATCGATAATAACGCAATATTTGTGTACTTGTTATACTTGCAGACCGAACTGCCGTCCTCAACATTATCATAGACAACCGTATGGGATATTAATGCAAAAGAGTATGTCTCCGCAGTCTAAAGAAATTTTCCGAGATATAAACAAATACACATACATATACACATATATAATTATAATTATATGACATAATATGTAAATACGTATTTAGATAATTAATACAACAATACTTAATGTTTTCTTTTCTTGGCAATAATATTATTTTTAAGATCAAGTCGTTGTACGTGCAAGAACAATAGAAAAATTTATTTCATATTTGCAAATTATATTTTTGATGATATAACTACAATTATAATTTAAATTATGTCATGCATATAATGAATTTACAGATACATTAGAATAATAAAAATATTTATTATAGTACTATTACATGCATTCAAAACTTGCTAAGTTGTATTTTACAATAAATTAAAGCTGTCGAATATAAAACAGAACAAGTCCAATCTTTTATATTATATGAATTATTATGTTCTTTTTTCAATTAAGAAACTATGAACAAATAATTATATCTTTGATAAAAATTATAATATAAAAAACAATTATTTATTAGTAGCATTAATAAGATTAGATTTACGCAGAAACGCTTTATCTCAAGATTAGAGTTAATGGACTGCTGTTTTGCATTTTGCGGCTTCAACGCATCTTGGATCTAGTACACCTTGTACCTACCACGACTATAGAAAAGAAAAGAAAATGAAAGAAAAAAATAAAGAATTTGCGCTCTTTACGGAAGCTCTCGATCGCCAGATCTCGCTGTGAATAACAAAAAAAATTGTAAAGAAAAAATAGACACGATGTATCGCAGTCATTATAACGGCATGCTTAATAAAAAGTAATGTGAGCATAATTCTTGGTTGTTCTAGATGCCGCTATCCACGAATCCTTTGCACAAAAAGCGGCTTATCCCCTAGAATCCGTAGATGCTAGTTATCCCAATAAAGCAGGCGCCGGTCAGGCGGAACCGGATCTGTCGCCTGATCTCGAAAGGCAAACGTACTCGGAGAAGCGTATATTCTGGGAGAATATTTCGAGAAAACGTGAAAACTACCAGCGTTCCGAATCCGAAATTTCGAGGACCTCTCAATTGACCATTAACGAGAGCGACAGCGAGTCGTGCCAGCCGAATGTCGTATCCGAGGAAGGTGATGGGACAACGGAGGGCATCTCGGACGTCATTAGATCGGAGACCATCGAGGACATTAACATGCCAGATATCTCCGAGTGTTCAGTAGCGGAGAAGGCGCATTACTTTGAAGAACAGATACAGAAAGAGAGTCAGATGGCAAAAGGTACACCAAGACTGCATCAACAAGACTCCGCCAAGTCCGAAAAAGACAAACCTTTCTTTAAGGACAAGTCGAGCGACGATCTGAAAAGTCACGCGGAAAAGAGTACAGTGGAAATGACGAAGGAGAAAATCGATATCCAGGAAAAACACTTGGAAGAAGCAAGAGAAATACAAAAGATATTGAAAGCTGCTACGGATGACGAAAAATGGAAAGAGACACGAAAAGATTTAAAAGATAAACAGAAAAAGGATGACGATAAAGAAGTGCGTGAAGAAGTTCAAAAGATAACAGCTCAGCCAATGATGGAGATTTGCAAGGAATTATTAAATAAGGAAAGAGAACTAGCAGAAGAAACACAGATAGGACATACTTTAATTGGACAGGTTCCAGAAGTTAATGTAAGAACAAAGATATTTGAGAAGGAACAAACAGACATTACAACTAAATCATTTCTTTTGGACGATAAAAGGGAAATGGAGCAATTCCTCGAAGAAGAGAGGCGAATCATCGAAGAAGAGGCGAAAATGAAAGAAAAGAAAATGGCTGATATTAGTTTTGAGAAGGAGAAAAAATTCACCATTGACACGGAGGTCAAACAGATGAAAAAAGAATTCGAATCTCGCATTCCAATTTCCACAGCAATGGCTGAAAAAGATAAAAGCCAAAAAGAAGGAAAAGGCAAAATGGAGAAATCTGAAGAGAAATCATTAAAAGGTTTTTTTATGGAGAAAGAAAAGGATGTTGCCTCGCCATCCAGCAAGAGAAAAGAATTTGAGTCCCGTATACCTAAACGTATCATGGAAGGGGCGACGATAAAGGAGAAAGAAGGAATGAAGAAAGATTTGCCGGGACGGAAAGATGGCGAGACCTTTACTGTCACTGAGAGAAAATCCAGCGAAGAGCGGCATGAAGAACGCTCGACTACGAAGAGTAAGACGCAAACTTTTTCCAAGACCTTCGCCGACGCGCAGGACGCGTTTAAGATGTTTGAGAATATAAGCGCAATGAGAGACAAGGATTTCGATACAGTTACTTCAAAGGTTGATACTAAAGCTACTAGTAAAGTGGAAAAAAAGGAGGTACTTTCGTCAGAGATCTCCAGCGGCGTGGAAAAGTTTATAACTCATGAGGAGAAGGAGAAAGTAGAACGGAAAAAGTCTTCAGAATCTAAGTTGACTAAGGAGACACCGGCTGAAACAATGGAAGAAAAGAAGAGCAAAAATGAAGAGATGGATAAGACCGCTGTGCAGAAGATGTCGATGAATGTGATGGAAGGTAAACAAGTGATAGATGCAAGCGCTTCTGAATGCAAAGCAAAGAGTAAAAAGGAAGAATTATTTAAATTGCTAGAGGACAATGAGGGAACCGCGACGGAAAAATCTGGAACTAGTAGAGACAGGAAAAGCGACGTGGATGTGGCAATTAGAATCAAGAGGGACAATGCGAAGAAGGTAGAGGACATTAAGGAAATGCCTAAAACAGCTAAGCTCGAAGGAACAGACTTGGAAAAAGTTGAAATGATCACGCAAGGACAGTCTTACAAAGAGAGTTTGGAGAAGTTTAAGATTGAGCAGTTTGTACCTAGTCAAAGGGACAAAACGATTTCATCTGAAAAGACTAAAAAAGACGAACAATTTTCGACCAAAGAATCTTTAATATCTTTGGAGAAAAAAGAAGAATTAATCGCCAAAGAAATTGAAGCGCGGAACATAGCAGAGGATCTGATACAATCGATTGAGAGTGAAATTGAAAGAAGATCATCAACGTCAGGATTAAAACCCCAAATGTTGAGTAAGGAATATTTAGATCAACTGATTTCCGAAAGCAGCGATACTGATCATGAGAAACTAGCAGATGATTTAACAAAAAAATTCGAAAGTATTATGCATGAACAATTGATGGATTATCCAGGAGCAGAACTGTCGAAGACATCCATACAAGAAGAATTATTCGAGAAAGGCTATACCAGAGACAGTATAAGTGAAGATATAACAAAAGATGAAGAATCATCATCGCAAGCAAAATTCCAGGACAGAGACATTACTATAAGTCCCAGCAGTATATCTGAGCAAATTGATCTAGAAGAAACAATTGATGTTGACACTGGAGAATTAGAGGATATATCTAAGCCTACGTCCAGTCCACATTCCGATAAACTTCGTTCAGACAGATCGAGCGGGCATATCGAGCCACTTCAGAAGGATGATATCACTCTTTCGAAAGATAAAATAATATCAGAAATTTCTGGCGCTAGAGTATTAGAGATTTTGGAACCAGGCGCAGACAGTCGACAGGATTCGGTTGACGTGCCGTCCTTGGAGTTAGACGAGCACAAAGTATCCGAACAGACTAGTAGGGACGTAGCTTCCTTACACGAGAGTGTGGCTGTAGATTCTTTGGAAAAGATCGCTCAAGAAAAAGATGTGACTGTCAGTTCTAGCATAGTGTCTGATGATGCTAATGTAGACTATCCTCCAGTTTTATCTTCGACTATTCCATCGAGAGAACATGATACAGGGGAGAGACGAAGAGCGGACAGTTTCGAAATCGAGAGTCCGCCGTTATTTTCTCCAAGGACCAAGCACGTAAGCGATCTGGAAATTAAACCAGTAGATTGGATGATCGGCGACGAAAAGATTGAAATATCAGAAACGTTGCAACCCTCTCAGGTATTTAATCAAGAGCTGGAGGAGTATGAATCGTCTTTGCAACGTACCCGCACTATCTCGCAGGATGAATCCGTAGATTTGGAACAAGAGTCCATAACTAAGTCTTCAGAGGAGATCAGTGTGATTGAATCGATCAAAGAGTCGGTTGCTAGTGATGTTAAGACTGTTACGACTACGACGACCAAGGTAACAAAATTCACCGTGGTTCCAGTTACCGAGCCGGATTTTGAAAGCAAATTGACAGAAAAAAAATTAGATATTTCTTGTTTTCAAGAGTTGGTCGACACTATGCAACGGGAATACAATGTCAAAGCGCCGACGGACGAATACGCGGCTAATATACGGCAATCGATGCCTCACGAAAGTTTTGACTGGGAAACGGGTATTACTGAAGCTGTCACGGAAATGATACCTATGAAAGAGGAGGAAGCGAAAGATTTAACTATGGAAATTAAAGCTGAAGTAATGGGCAAAGAGATTTTTCAACAAAACATTTCTACGGATATAATACCTACAACGAAAGCTACTGATAAGACAATAAAAGATTCAAAAGCTGTAAAAGAAGAGATTACTGAAACAAAGGAAATTCTAAAAGATTCCACGAAAGGAGAAACGGAATTATCGAAGTGTCCGAGAGTTGATGATGTACTAAAAGAATGGACAGAGACTTATTTGGCGAAAATCAAACCTCCCAGTGAGGAATACAAACGACATATGGAAAAGACAACCGAGAAGCACGACAAACCCAGCAAATCGACGATCGCTCCTTCCGATACTTGTGCCTTGAAAATAAAGAAAGATGATCTTCAGAGCGTCGATTTAAGCGCGCGATACGCGATAACGGTACTGGATCAAGTGGTGAAAAAAGAAATTGCCGAAGTGAAAGAGTCTTTGGAAGCAGCTAAGCAAGATTTGATAGAAGAATTGAGTGAGAATAGTCAAACCGTAATTCAGATCAAAGATTCGCCTTCAGAGTTTCAGTTCAAACTCCAACCGGAATCCATCCCAAACGATTTGCCGTTTTTGTACAGACCACCGTCCATTGAACATGTTCCTGTCGAGACTGAACCGGAAGCCGAAATTGAAGTTATTACGCTCAGCGAATCGTCAATTGTAAAAACTCAAAAATTTGACGAAGTAAAGAAGGAAGATAGCAAAGATACCGTCGATGACAAACTGTCTGTCCAAGCAACTGTCATCATTGAAGACAGACCAGCCGATGTAGTCAAAGCACCTGAAATCGAGAAGCATGAAGAAGAAGAAGAAGAAACTTTAATAACAATTGAACAACAAGAGGAAGAAGAAGAAGATCGTTTTGCAAGTCCGCTTCCAATCAGTAGATCGTCTGACGTTGGATCAGATATGGATAACAGGGACGACAGCTACTCCTTAGCACCACCTCAACCGGCACCTAGAAGACGTCAGAAACCGTCTAGGATATCAAAGAGAGTTAAGACTTCGGAAAGCGAGGCTGACGTCTCGAGTTCTGGCGAGAGCAGTAATTACCAATCCTGTGACTATGAGCTTGGTAGTGGAAGCAGACCTAGTTCGTCCGATGTCGAGGCATTGCAGTCCGCCGCGGGTGGTGTACAATCCGGAACCGCTTCGGAGTACGAAACGGCGATGATGTCTGTCGAACACGAGGGCTCGAAAACGTTGCCAACATCACAAGAGTATCAGACGGCAGCAAGTACGTTAAGCTCCCACGAATCCATGAAATCCTTGAATTCTCTCAGTTCGGGTCATCTTGGCAGCATTGACAGCACCAGTGAGTTGTCAGAGACATTAGTACCCTCGGAGGAAGCGGACGTGGATGCGGACGAGATAGATGAAAATCTGGAGAGCGCATTGGACGCGGAACACGAGATGGCCGAGGCATCGGACTCTTCCGGTAGTGAAGAAATACCGTTGGACGTGGAAACTGTGGACAAAATCGATAGTCATATACCATGTCGCATGAAACGTTCATCCGAGATGATTTTTCAACAGATCGTAGACGATAGCGTCATCATGGAAACCGAGTCCATGGACGTGTTGGAAGAAGATCAGGCCAAAGTGGACTCAGCCATTTCCGCCTCTATGGATGCGCCCGGGATCCTTCAATCTGTAGACATAATGACGTCACGGGTATCCGAAGATGGAGTTCAGAGTGTATGTACTCAGGTAATCTCTACGCAAGTTGCTAGGCCCAACGACAGTGAAGATTTTAAAGAGGAAAAGATGGAAGGTTTAAAAGCACAAAGAGATATGAGAAAGGATGAAACGATGGATAGTTTGAAACAGAGTTCGGATCACGAAATAATTGGAGATGGGGGTCTCGAACCGTCAACATCCGTCCACTCGATGCTGCAACAGGCCAGTATGTCCCTGTCTTCAGCATCAGGTATGTCCTTTGACACAGTCGTAGAGAAAGATATAGACAAGGACAAGTCCGAGCGTCATTCACCCGACAGCGATTCATTCGAGCTCGTAGACAAGCCCGACATCATTGATGACTTTGTGGTGATCGAAGAAGTTGGACGCGAAGCGGAGGAATTTGATGCTGAGGGTAAAAGCATTCGCATCAGCTCAGTATCACAAACCACTAGCAAGCAGTATGATCGCGATCTAGAAAACCTAATTGCGGAGAACAAAGAGGACACGCAGGTATCAACGAGTCAGACATCGAAAAATAATGATCTGTTTGACTTTGAGTCCGAAGAAAGCCCGCCTCAAGGTCCCGCGTCAACTGACGATCAATCTCAATCTTATTCTGATGAAGAGCAATACGAGAACAAGAAGTGGATAGAGATGCAGTTCCATGCGGACGCGCGGATCTACGATATCGAATACGATCGTGGACCGTTGGAGGACATCAAGGAGGAAGAGGTCACAGATTTTGAGGCCGGCAGCAGTAGACTTGGTAGTTTAGGCAGCCACAAGGAGTCTATAGGCAGTGTGGGAAGTATGCGTGGTAGCTTTAGTAGCACACCGGATTACGACGTCCTTGGGAAGAAATATTTCAGCAAGTCTACGGATCATGACACTGTGTCCTTGAGTTCACTGCAGGAATTCGAAAATTTAGAGACCGCCCTGGCAGCTGAGAATTCGCGGAAGTTACAAAGCGGCTCGCAGGATTCCAGCAGCAATAACGGCAGTCTTCCAAGGAGATATATGACCAGTCGTTCAGGTCACGGCGACGACGTCTCGTTGTCTTCATTAAAAGATTTCGAAGGCCTGGAAAAGGCATGCAGAGAGGCTCATTTGATGGAACTGCGAGCTCGTGAGGAAGAGGAATTACTGGAACATGAGAGTCCGGAGAACAAATATAAATTAGAGAATCTGCCGCGTTCGAGAACGGAAACTAGTGCAGCTGGCTCGTTCAACCCTAGTACTTCCGGCTCGGATGACTACGAAAAAAGAATAAAGGAAATCGACGAGATAATACGCATCGCGCAGTCTAACATGGAAAAGTTTGAACGGCAAGACGATACAACGGAAGACATTTCGCAAATTACCGATGCTGAAAAAGCCACCGCTCAACCAATTCCGGAAACTCTTCCAGAAGAAATAGAAGAACTCGATGAGGCACAAGCGATACAAAAAGAAAGCAATATCATGGAGACCAGTACGGACTCTCTGGAAATGGAAGATGCAGAGAAAAAGTATCAGCAATTGTGTCGAAGCTCCGATTCTCTAGAGATGAAGACGACTCTGGACTTGCCGTCCTTAAGCTCGGATTCATTAAATAATATAAAAGACACAAAAGAAACCGTCGAGCAATATGGTGGTGACGCGAGACGAATTTCTTCGGATTCTCTTGAGATGCCTTTATTAGAGCAACAAAATATCGGTGCGCCCGAGAGAAGTAGCAATGGACGTCATTCAGAGGCAGAAACGGATCACTCTGTTGGACAAACATCTTCGATGGAAACTAAAGCGAGAAATGGCAAAACGAAAACGTCACCAAGTAGTGATACATAGGACAATTTTCGTGGGTAAGTAATTTATATAATGAATTTTTAATTTACATTTTAATTATTTAATTATAATATTAAATTAGTATTACAAAAAATAAATGTTTATAATGAATTTATTAAAATAACTCTATGTTGTTTGAATTTTAATGCAAAATAATTTTTGAAACATCATAGTGTCTATGTTTTAATTTTTAATTTATAAAAATTATTTTAAACATTTCTAATAATTTTTGTTGTTATTTTGGATTACGAATATATAACTTATCTTTACAATAAATGTGGTAAAATTAATAGATATAAAAATAATCTTTCTTTTTTACATTACGTATTATTAGAAGTTAAATTATATTTCGAATTTTAGACAAGCGGACCATCAGGAAGGATTGTTGCCACGATTTCATAACATATTACCGAATAAACTCAAGAAGCTTTATATGTAAAACACGATATTAATAATAATGTACTAAAGAACTTGTGCATTGTGGATACTATTACATTTTGTCCTTGTTTTACGCAATGTCTTCTGATAACATTTATATTATGCTTAAGTAAGATAGTTGCTATCTTTAAAATATAATATTGTTGCGTGGGATATAAGAAAGTGGAGGAACGCTTGCTTGTTTGTCATTATTAAATTTGGACAGACATATTTGTTGTAATAATTCTTGCTGTATTTGTTTAGAAAAACAATCTTAACTGTTTTTGAAATCTTTACATACATTAAGTTGCATTTTTTAATACATACTTTGAAGTGCTACTTAAATATTCTACTTGTATTATAACGTGTACGACACTGTTCTATTATAGCGAGTTTTATAAACATTTTGATTATGAGATGTCTTTGTGGATGCGCTTTCGTAAAATTTTATAATATATTTGACGTATCTCGTATCGTGTAATGATTTCAAGCAACGTTTGCGAAACTCAAAAAAACAATAATGCTATCTTAACGTATGTTTACAAAGGAAGACAAATATTTAAATAGAAGATTTTATATGCGAATATAATATTTAGGACACACACACATTACGGAAAGTAGCAAATATACTTTTCTATTTAAATAATTCCAATAATTGTTTAATAACTTATTATATTTGTTTCTTTTAAATACAAAGTTACTGTACATGTTATCAATTGTTTACTTATGTATTGTATATTATTACAAGTTATAATGTGATTTAAAAAGTTTGTTTCCTTATAACGATAAAAATATACATATGTGCATTATCTGAAACTTGTTAGTGCGCACGTTTATTTTTCCTATAAATTGCATTAACACGTTCACTGTCTTATTTTATTGGTGATACATGATTGCATGTGTAAGAAACAAACGCTTTCTATGTTTTTACATGCGAAAAAATACACTTTACGAACAAATAATAAACAGCGAACGTGCAAAATCTTAATTACATATTTAAAATTTTCCTTGATATAGGTTTTTTTATAATATGAGAAAGATAAAATATTTTTAAAATTTTTATTTAATTTATGGCGCGCGGTTTGTTTGAACCGAAAAAATTGTATGATTTACACTTGATAATATTATATTATGGAACACCAAGATCTGCTCTGACTGTTGTTGGCGCTTTCCGATCTTCATTTAATTTATTTATTATTAAAAAAAAAATTACATCTTATAGTTTAATGTTAGTTAAATATATAAAAATATCTTATTTATTTGCTATACTAAATTATCATATAATGTTTAATATATATTTTTTTTAAAGAAATGCATTTTATTTTAATAAATAATTATATTGTTATTATTCTTCTGTTATTGTGACGTATTTATGTGACATAAGTACACAAACTTATTTTATGTATATACATACATGTACATCTTACATGTTAAGCTAGCATCTAACGTGCTTATTTACACACAATATTTTCAACGTTTTAATTGATCCACTAGTATAACCGTAGATACGTTAATAGTGTTAATAGATTATTGAACCATAAACAACGAAACAGTACGGAAATATTGAGAGGATTGCAATGATACGAATTAATGACGACAAATCAATTCAATTTTTACACTTTGTAAATAAATTATAATTTCTCCATTTACAAAACATATATCGAGCAAAAATAAAACACATTTCAATACATAATGAAATTCTGATATAATTTTTGATACCAAGTCTATTAGGAACTCAATTATTATTATTAAGAGAAAAATTTATATATTTTCATCCAGACAGGTCGCATGTATTACGAATTCATGTAACGTTTGCTACGTGTAATAGAATAAAATAAGATTATGTTTCTTAATATGTGAATTGACAGAAAAGTTTTTTGAGATTCTTTTTATGTATGATGCTTTAAAACTGTAATATTTCAAACACACATATACACGCGCGGGCCCGTGTGTGTATAAATTCTCAATCCTTTTTCTCAAGATCTTTGATAGAATATCAGTGCTCGCGAATAAAAAAAACAAGTATATGTGTATATACATGCATAAATTTTATATGCAAAAAAAGGTATCCAAATAAAGCCCAATTGAAATACGTGTACATAATATATCAAATAATCAATAAAGTTATCTTGATACATATGCATGAAGTACACATAAAAGGCACAGCGCACGATTTCAATAATGCTGGAATATATAAACTCATACTTATCAAATAACAAACCGATGCTAATGAAAGCAATTAAGTTGTTTGTCACTGTAATTATCACCCAAGGATTGTTTAAATTCTGAAAACAGAACTAAGATAATTGACAATAAAAGTGTTCCTAATTTATATATTTCTGATAATTATACATATATTTGCATATATACATGGTCTGTCCCAAAAGTAATGAGACTTATTTTGAAAAAACCGCGTATTGAAAATAAACTTAATTTTTCAAAGTAGAATCTTTGAGTCAATACAGCGGTTTCAACGTCTTTGCCACTCTCTTCGTAGCAGCGTAGGAAGTCTTGACCAGACATGCCTTCCAGAACACTCGTCGCGGCTGTTTGGACCTTTTTAATTTCAAAATGGTGGTTCATGGTTTTGGGACAATTAAAAATGTTCAAGCAGCCGCAACGAGAGCTCTGGAAGGCATGTTTGGTCAAAACTTCTTGCACTGCTATTAAAAGTGACAGCTGTGACGCTGAAATCACTTTATTGATATTCAAGGATCCTACTTTGAAAAATATTAAGTATATTTTCAAATCAAAACGGTTTTTCCAAAATTAGTCTCATTACTTTTGGGACAGACCATGTATATAGCAAATAAATTGAGATAAAAACTTACTTCATAATATTGTGGTTCATATAATTTATAATGATTGAAAAGAACCATCAGAAACTGCACACCGATATATATTTTTTGATATTTTGGTACAAAAGGATCATATACGGTTCTGGGTTTGACCTACAATATAAAAAAACAGCATTTTTTTATACTAATAATTAAAATAAACAAGATTTGTATTTTAATTTTTATTAATTAAGAGTTACTTATAAATGATATATATTAAAACGCATTTTATTTTATTAACAATTATGTTACCTTTATTTTATATTCATCTAAACCCAAACGTGGGCTACCTGGAAACCAACTGGGACCTTTCCAGAAAACGGCAAACTTATCAGCCCACGTACTCATACTTATACTTTTCTTAATTAAATCTTTTAAATAAAATATCTACAATATTACAGAAAACAATAATTAGGAACAATTCATAAGTTGTCACACTTATAAAGTATGAAGTTTTATTTTATTATTATCACGAACTTTTAAATATGTTTTAATTTTGCTTTCTTTACAAATTTTCTATTTATTCATAAATTGCAAAAATTAACACATTCAAAGTTCATAACAATTTTTAATTGCATTTAATTATGGTTTATACATAAATGTTAATTTATTTTTTTCGATCATTTATTAAGGATATATAATAACCCAATTGTCATGAACTTTACCTGCAGATAGAACGCGTTAAATGATTCAATGTTGACTACTAATCCATAAACTATCTCTTCTTTTTGTTCTTCTTCTTGAAATGTACCAAACAATCGATCCCATATTATAAGTACACCGCCGTAATTCTTATCCAAGCAATAAAGATTGCAGCCTGCAAATGCAAAAATGCATATGTGTATAACATAAATCGTAAAGAAAACTTTATGTTTAATTTACCATGATGAACACGATGATGCTTAGGTGTATTAAAAATTAACTCGAGTGGCCCAAGATCACGAATGACTGTTGTATGTATCCACAATTGATATATCAAATTGAGTTGATTATGAACCATAAAGTGTGATGGTGGTATAAAAAAGGCAAGAGGTAAATACATTACCTGCAAAAGATATTTCAATCAAAATATACAAGATGCTACAAAGTTACATTTTATTTAAAAATCTTTTAGTTTTAATTTTTAAAAACTTTCTATTTGTAGTTTATTTTAATTATTCTTTCGAGATGTACCGAAATGAGATATAGTACTGAAAATTAAAATTGTCTATTTTTCTTTATGTATATAATCAATTTTATTTAACGAGAAATATTAGAGAAATGATACTTACGAAGTTGCACCAGTGTTGCAGAATGGATTGTCGTAGACCAACTGCAAGGTTAAATTCCTCACTGCTATGATGCACTTGATGGTGGGCCCACAGGAAGTGAACTTCTGCAAGCAGTTAATAAATATCTTAAATTAAAAGGAAAGAAAAAGATCGTCATTAACAAAAAGAATATTTGGGTAGAAATTTAACCATGATTACTGCGATGAGCCCAATAATAAGAAAAGTCCACGGTAACGAAGGTAATACACCAAGTCCATAACGAATTCCAAGGTAAAGTGCATCCTCTGCCAAACTTCTCATAAATGACAATGTATACGTAATACTCAGCACCGCGAGAAAAAATTCTGTGAAATCAATAATATTGTTTTATCTAAATTTGTCAAACAAAAGAAGATACAAATATAAATAATATAATACGATATACTTTATTATTATATTATATTTAATATATCATATATTTATCATTTTTATATTTATTAGTTTTTTTATATCTTTTTATATAATAATTATATTTTTACCAGCTTAATATATTTAAAATATATATTTTTTCTTTTTCCTTTTCACATAATTTTCATATTTGCTTTTTTCATATTTTTTTGATAGAAAATATAATTGAATAAAATAAGATAATTAAATTGTGAACGCAATGAATTTAAGGTAGTACACTCGCAAATTCAAAATATTGAGAATTTCTTGAAATTGAAACTATATGTTGTACTAGAAATCGTTGACACGCTTGTGCAATTAGAATGAGATTGACCATCTCAATACTGAGATATAAGCAATTAAAAATTGCATTTTTTATACGTGTCGCCTATACAAAGTTGATAAAACTGTCGCGTTTATTTTTGTAGAGCCCAAACTAGCATTGAGATTTTAATAAAAAACGAGTATGTGATGAAGGGATATGAAACGGATATTATAAAAAAATTCTTAATTTTTTACCATTTAGTTTGGAAAATAGAGCCTTTTAAAAAATATAATTTTCGATTTTTATTGACATATGGAGGCGAGTGAAGGAGGCGGCCAGTCGAGCTGCGTTAGTCTGCGTCTGTCTGAATTAATTTTTTTCTGCGTGTGCGTGCGGTCTATGGATAGGCACAACTAAATGTTTTTTCTCACTGGCGGCAAATGGGAATATCGCCACTGAGCGCGCGAAGAGACCTAACTTTTGGATGGTATTGTCGCGAGTGTACTACCTTAAAGGAATAAAAATAAAATAAAATCACTTTTAGAAAAAAAAAACAAAATTCAGTTACTATATATGGGTCGGTATCTTTACAAGTTTAGATGGCTAGGCAATTCTATCCCCGTGATACGTAAATATTTATGTCAACATATATAACGATTATTCATATAACGACTGCAAAAAACTATTTCTCAAATTGTTTCAATTGATTATGGAAACTAAATTTTTATTATACAAACAGTTCCCAGGGTAAGAGAATTAAAAAAAATGTATATGTACATATGTATTTCATGTGTCTTTTAATACAGAAGTAAAGAATATAAACTACGCTTATGACTAGCCGTAGCTATCCTTACCGAATAGTTTCGTGGAGCATCCAATGAGATAATGATGTCACTTGATCATTTAAACGGAATCTTTTTTTCCTCAATATTAACTGCTCCAGAATCAACAGCAGAAAAAACGGCATCCATATCTATAAATATCAAAGATTCATGTGTACGCAGAAAGTTAAACTTTGCGCGTAGTTTCATGTATTAGTGCTACGTTCGAATGAGGTCTCGACAAGAATAGCGCGCACATACATATGACTTGTTAACGATTCATGTAGCTTGCCACGTTCGTAACAGGCCAGCTGCGCATTCAAATTACTGGACTTCCTCGATGCATTTGACATCGTTTATGCTACTTTGGCATAAATTATATCGAGATTTTAAAAAAAATTTTTGTAGATTCTGTCTGAGCCGAATGCTGCTCGAATGAAACCAATCGAAGCTTAGATAACTTACATTGACGTATAAGAAAGCATTATCATCTTTTAATTAAATTTATTATTATTATTAAGTGAGTAAAATAGCAAAAATTTAACAAATTTTTAAAAATTATTCAAAATGAAAATTATTCTTGTTTCTAAAAGTGTTTCTTATCTACTTTAGTGTACAATAATTAAACTTCAACACTTTTATTCTAACAATAAGTATTCACTAAATGTATATTTATTTCATAATCATATAAAGCTATTATATTTATATATGTACAATTCTTTTTTAAATGAATACATAATATTGATAATTTTTAATTTTACTGTAATTAATAAATATTGGTAATAATCATAATTTTATATATCAGCTATATTAACGTTTCTCTATCATATTATCAATTTCAATTACAGGATATTTAATAGCATTTAAAAGCATTAAAAACTCGATTTTACTTAATTTTTTTTAGAAAACAGCTTTATCAAATATATTTTTATTTCTTATATTAAAAATATTACCTGTTGTTGATAGTCCGGCACCTCGTGTAGAAACTCGAAAGTCGTCTCCTTTGGACTTACAAGATACCAAAGTTTTCCAATATCTTTTGGAAGATAATCGACAATCTTAGCGAGTGAATTTAATGATATACTCATTTTATATATTCGCAAATATTCGCAAATCACAAAACCGCAAATGTTATGAATTTCTCACAATCAGAAGCATCTCAGGTGTATAGCAAGCGTTTCAGACGATATACGACATCGGTTTAATCGCTTGTGCTGCGCGTATGTGTTTATATAAGTTCGAGCTAGACTAACGCACGTGACAACATCAGTTATCTTAAAAGCGCGATAGGTGTACACAAAACAAGTTCAAAATTATTTATAACGTATTGCAATTAAGATAACACACCATGTGTTTGACCTTATATTATTATTATTGTATCCAATGTATTCAGCCATCGATGTAAAATACGCATCTAATGAAAGGAAAAATAATTAATAACACTTTTATCGACAATTTCACACAGTCTTCTTTTACATTAATAATTTATTGCAAAAAAATTAAAATTAAAAATTTTTTTAAAATTATATTTAGGTATGTATAAACGTTTAAAAGATGTTTAAAGAATTAAATTTTATAAAATTATTCCTTTAGAAATTCAGCTTTATTAAAACATGTCTTATTAAACAAGAACAACATTTTATTAAAACGAAAACTAATAATTTGCGTTAAAAATGATATATAAGTATATAAAAATATAACAGAGTTAATTGCTATAAAATATTTAATAATATAAGATAATAATAAATTTATATACTTTCCATCATATCCAATTAAAAAAAACCATATTTTGTATTTCGAAAATATTATCTTTTTAAATATTAGGAAAGGACATTTTACCAAAATTAATATTTATTTATTTTATTTCAAATAGCATTAAAAGATTTTATATATATATATATATATATATATATATATATATATAAAGACAAATCGTAGTAAAAAGATATTTTTATAAAAAATATTAAATACAGAATATTTTAAATTTTAACAAATATACATATTCTAGAAAAGTATGAAAATATCTAGAAGAAATTTATTTTTATTTTGATTACTTCCAATATGTTTACAGAGTGTTTCGTTAAAAAAGGAAGCATTATAAATAAAAAAATTATAATAAATAAAAAAAAACGCATTGGTTTGATACAATTATAAATTTTCCAAAAACTTACTTCCTTAACATTATTTCATGTATTAATTCAAACAACATGATAATTTGTTTGAATTAGCACATTGATTGCACATTATTTATCACAATTATCACACATTGATATATGTATAGCACATTGATATATGCACATAATTAGAGACATCGTTATAGATAACGATAGTTAAATAAGAGAAATCTTTAACTATAGAACGCACAATTACACAAAGAAATCGTTTTCATGTATTCATATCCAAATCAATTGTGGAACGCACTTTTCACTAGATCTACGATACCGAGATACGCAGACACAAGAGATCTACAATCAAGTAAGTTAAAGGCTAACAACTGCATAATCAGCGCGTTCCCCCTCCATGTGGTATTCACAATGATAAGAGATTTTACGGAATATTCATTATGCACGCTCAATTGACACAAGACTCGATTCTTTTCACAAGCATTTCGAGAATTAGAATTCAAATTGTTCGGATTTACATATTTCCAGATATGAAAAATTCGACTAATCTAAAATTGCAAATCGAAATTTGAAATAATTAAATTGTTCAATAATTGGAAAACTTCAAGAATTAGTAAAATAACCATATACTTATTGTTAGTTCAATTAGATAAAAAATAATCACAATCCAAAAATCTTCAACGCAACTTAGTATGTTGCTAGAGCAAATAAGTTAATGTCGATTTACTCGTGCTGATCGTGCAATTCTTAGCATGAACTTTAATACGTAAACGTGCTAAGCATGTTATCTGAATGGCGTATTGTGGCAGTGACATCATATTACTTCGTAGTAGCAGAACCGAATCGCGGATTTCGAGAACCTTAAGCTTATAATAATCTGGAAATCAAAAGATTGTGCAAAGTTTCATAAAATATAAATTTATAGATACAATTTTTATAGAGAAATTTAAATACAAATTTTGTTAAATACAATTTTGTTTATATCTATTTATCTATTTATATAAATTAATCTTATCTATTTTGTAGAATTCTTTCGTGATTAAATATTTACTTCAATAATGTTTATTTTAATTAAATATTTAATTTCTGTTGTTAGAAAAAATATACTAAAAAAGTTTGTTTTAAATTACTTAAATAATTAAAAAATTAACATTAATAATAAATGTAAGGTAAAAAGATAATTAATGCGAAATAACTCTCTCTTTCTCTCTAATAACAGCATAACTAATATAAAAACATAAAAATGTTATAAGTTTGACAATATTTCACATATTGCATTTAAGCAGAATCTCTCTCTCTATAGGGAGGGCAATCATACGTAGTCAACTGTGTGTATATATACTACGCATGCGTATAGAAGCAGTAGAAGATATGGGTCGGCAAATCTCACTTTGGAATCATTTGGGATTTGGAATTACTGCAGGTCTTAGCACGTGAAAATTACAAAATACGTTTCTATTTACAGAAACATCCATATTGAGAGAGTGTTTATACATTAATAAGTTAGTGAAATAAAGATTACAGGTAAGAAAATTAAAATTTTTGTCATATTAACTAGATGATATATAACTCCGTAGTTTTATTTTAAAATAAGGTAAAACTGAATCGTTTTGTTTATTAAATTATATGATATGTTGTAATAATAATAAAAAACATAGATCTGAAAATCAATAAAAAATATTCAAGTATTGGTATGTTCTTTTTGAAGACGGTGCATGCACTTTCTTACATATAGTACATTTTCCTTCTTTTTTTCTTTATGTTGGAGAAAACAAAAGAAAAAATAAACGGTTCATGCACTGTCTTCAAAAAGAACATACCATATAATTTATCCCGTCTAAAAAAGTGCATGTTAAATCGATAGTCGAATCCATCGAAATCTTTAAAGTCTCTTCATTGTTGGCTCTTTTCCGCGACGCTGATTGGTTGTCTCGCTGCACTAACTTTGTGAGCGGCTGTCATTGCGTTGACTTTCGACCGTTGTATGTATTGAGATTGATGTATAATTA